GGTGCGTGCCGGGGCTGCGGAATGGCGGGCGGGGGAGAGGGGAGGGGGGGGGCAGCCAGGGCCTCGGGGCTGTGGAGCGGAGGGTGCGGGAACGGAGGCGTGGGAGGGACGGACGAGGAATAGGGGGAGGAGCGGCGCGGGGTGGGGGGGCTGGAGAGAGTTGTCAGATCGGGTCGACGCAGAAAACTAGTAACGGCCGGTTTTGCGTCGTTTCCGGCGTGTGGAAGCCGTTTCCTGGCCCCCAAGACCAGGGGAAAACGATTCAGGATGAACATTTGGCCTCGGGGGAGCGGTCGAAGCCCAGGGAGCCGACGTCACGAACAAAAGAGAATGTCGGAGGCGAGGAACGACTGGACAGCCGTGGGGTGAACCAGACGGAGCTAGGACGAGGATACATCCGTTCCAGAGCGTTCCGGAACGCTCTCACAGCATTCCGGAACGCTCTGCGAAGGCCGAAGGCCGCGACGCCCGGTACATCTTCCGGAGCCGCCAGATCTCAGAGATTCTCGATTTATCCTCACCCGAAGTTCTCCTCGTCCTGGCTTCGTCTTAGGGGAGGGGAGGCGTTCCAGAGCGCTCTGCAAAGGCCGCGACGCCCGGTACATCCTCTGGAGCCGCCAGATCTCAGAGATTCTCGAGTCTTCGGCTTACTACGCCGCACCGCCGACCCCTTGGGGGGCTCCTGATAGGTCTCTCAGGGGCCTCCTGGCAGCACTTTTGATGCCTTTTGGGGTCGGTTTGGGGCCTCTTGGGGCCTCTTTTGGGCTTCCGGTGGGCCTCTTGGGGCCTCTTGGGAGCTTCTTAAGTTGGGGGCCTCCTGGAGGCTCCTTGGGGCCGAGAGCCCGGAGCCGCCAGATCTCAGAGATTCTCGATTCATCCCCACCCGAAATTACAGTCAAAAACCCTGATAAGGACGCGCGACTTTGCTCAGGGTACCCTTGCGTCCCTGCTCTTCCTTGCTCTTGCGTCCTTGAGGTTTTCGTCGTCCACCGCCCCAAAAATCCCAATTTCGGCTTCCAAGGGTCTTGCGTCCTCACCGCGCGTCCTTAGGGTTTTTGATTCTATCCTCGGAGTGCACGGCAGGGCCTCGGCCACAGAGCGGCCAGCCTGGACGGGAGCCACGGCGGCCCCGAAGGTCACATGAGGGGGAGGAGGGAGGACGGAGCGGGAGGACGAGGAGGACGAGGAGGACGAGGAGGAGGAGGAGGAGGAGGAGGAGGAGGAGGAGGAAGAGGAGGACGTGGAGGGGGAGGAGGAGGACGAGGAGGGGGGAGGAGGAGGAGGACGAGAAAGAGAGCGAGGAGGGGGAGGAGGAGTTGCCCTCCTCGCTTCGTCTTAGAGGAGGGGGGGCGGAAGGGGAGGGGAAGCGAGCGGGCGAGCAGGGCAGCGCTCGAGCGCACGAGCACAGGCCGAGCGGAAGGCCGAGGCCGCACGAGGGGCGGCGAGGGGGCGGTAGGGGATAGAGGCGAGGGGGTGGAGGACAAGCTAGGTGCGCTCGCGTCATATCTGACATCCTACCCCTCCCTCACATCCCTTACCGTGGCGCAGATCCCCTCTCTACTCGCTCAGTGGGATGTTGAGCAGGGCAATGATGGGTACGCGATGCATTGTAGAGCACGGAATGGCATGGCATGGCGTAGAAGAGCACCGCAAAGCGTAGTATCAACCTAGCATTGCAGTGCATGCCGTGGCATGGCACGGGAAATGACGCGAGCGCTGCAGCGGGAGCAGGAGTCGAAACGAGCGGAAGCGCGGAAATGAGGCCAGCGTTGCAGCGGGAGCACGATTCGGAACGAGCGGAAGCACGGAAATGAGGCCAGCGCTGCAGCGGGAGCACGATTCGGAACGAGCGGGGCCCGAAAGTGAGGCCGGCGCCTCAGCGAGAGCAGCATTTTGAAAACAAATGCAGGCGAACACCCAACTCCGGGGAAACCTATGTGTAAAAAAACAGTGCGCGGGGGGGGGGGTCGGACACTCCCAGGCCGTCATCAGGGGAAGAGGGAGAGTAGTATTCATATTGAGTAATTGTGGAGGAGGAGGAGGAGGGGATAGAGACGAGGCGGTGCAGGAGGAGAAGGAGGATGAGGAAGGAGGAGGGGATAGAGACGAGGGGGTGCAGGAGGAGAGGAGGAGGAGGAGGAGGAGAAGAGGAGGAGGAGGAGGAAGAGGAGGGAGGGATAGAGGCGAGGGGGTGCAGGAGGAGGAGGAGGAGGAGGAGGAGGAGAAGGAGGAGGAGGACGACGACGAAGGGATAGAGACGAGGGGGTGCAGGAGGAGGAGGAGGACGAGGAGGAGGAGAGGAAGGAGACGAGGGTTGCAGGAGGAGGAGGAGGAGGAGGAGATGGTGGCCAGCTGGTGTGGGCCTCGTCCGCGGCTGCGGACGACATGGCGGAAACGGACCGCAGGAGCTGGGGTGGGGTACCGAGTCTGTTTGAGCGCGTGTTAGGTTTGCTTTTCCTGTTCGCAGACCTTGGATCGCAGTGGGTGTGTTTGTGTGAGGAGGAGGAGGAGGAGGAGAAGGACCAGAGTATTAAACCCGAGATGCGTCAACAGCGTTGCAGTTCAATCAAGTGTCCAGATATCCCCTGTTCTGAGCTATCTGGGGAAGGAAGCTAACATATGCAGTTGTGAGTACCGCGGGTATCGCCATCGCGGGATCTCCTCATGGGGCCAGGAACCATGCGAAGGGTGCGCCGATATGGTGAGGGCCGCCATGTGTGCGCTGCCACCGTGGCTTTAGCTGGAACCAAATATGGGGCCGCGGAACGTGTGAGGGGTGTGCCGCAATGTGGCGGGGCCGCCACAGGGGCTTTTTGTGGAGCTCCCTTTAGGGCCACGAAACGCTGCACTCGGTGGGGAAACCACATACGAGAGCAGCCACTGGGGCCTTCGGTGGAAGTCCCTATGAGGGCACGAAGCGGTGTATTGGGCGGGGGAACCGCATGCGGACACCGCCATTGAGGCTTTCGGTGGAGCCCCCTATAGGGGGCCACGAAACGATTGATTGGGTGGGGGAACCACATGCGAGAGCAGCCACCGGCGCCTTCGGTGGAGCTCTCTATTGAGCCACGAAACGTTGCATTGGGTGGAGAAACCGCGCAGTCGAGTGCAGCCATTGAGCCTTCGGCGGAGCTCCCTATTGGGCCACGAAAAGATATACTGAGCGGGGAAACCGCGTGCGAGTACAGCCAATGGGGTCGTCTGTGGAGCTCCCTTTGCGATTACGAGGCGCTGTACTGGGCGGGGGGACCGCGTGCGAGTGCAGCCACTGGGGCCTTCGGGTGAGCTCCCTACCGGGCCACGAAACGCTGTACTGGGTGGGGGAACCGCATGCGAGCACAGCCAATGGGGCCTTCTGTGGAGCTCCCTTTGTGATTACGAAGCGCTGTACTGGGCGGGGGGACCGCGTGCGAGTGCAGCCACTGGGGCCTTCGGTGGAGCCCCCTATGGGGCCACGAAACGTTGTATTGGGTGTGGGAACCGCAAGGGAGCGCAGCCACTGAGGCTTTCGGTGGAGCCCCCTATGGGGTCACGAAACGTTGAGCTGGGTGAGGGAACCGCATGCGCGAGCAGCCACTGGGGCCTTCGGTGGAGCTCCCATGTGGGGCCACGAAGTGTTGTACTGGGCGGGGGAAACCGCATGCGAGAGCAGCCACAGGGGCCTTCGGTGAAACTCCGTATGAGGTCACGAAACGCTGTGCGTGGGGGAGCCGCATGCGAGTGCAGCCACTCGGGCATTCGGTGGAGCCCCCGATGTGACCACGAAACGTTGTGCTGGGTGGGGGGACCGCATGCGAGTGCAGCCACAGGGACCTTCGGTGGAGCTCCCTATGGTTCCAGGGAGCGGTGCACTGGGTAGGGGGAGCCCCTTCGGTGGACCTCCCTATGGGCCACCAAACGTTGGACTGGGCGTGGGAGCCGTATGCGAGAGCCTCCACTTGAGTTTTCGGTGGAGCTCTCTGTGGGGCCACGAACCGTGTGAGGGGTGTGCCGAAATCGTTGACGGGTGCGGAGGGAAGAGGCAGGGATGGGAGGAGGGGTGTGGAGAGGTGGGAGATGCGGGGCGCTGTCTTTTCAAAACGAGGACCCAACACCACAGGATGGTTGGGACAAATATCCCATACATCCGTGTAGTCGTTGCGCAGTCTTAAAGTTCAGGTTATACGACTTACGAAAAAAACCCAAGCGAGAAAGTTTGGAAAATGCAGCGGCGTCCAGCCGTGCCATTGAAGCGCCAAGTGGAATTTCAAGCCATAGAGTTTGAGGAAGTCCCGAACGAGGACAGCAGTTTGAACATAAACCAGCATTCATCCTTGAAGGCGTTAGTGTTTTTGATTAGCGAGTGCGTTGCGCTACACCGCGACACGCATTTGAATACCACGGGCCATCCACATTTGTAGTCGTTGAAAATGTGTCTAGGAGAGCTGATGTTCCAGAACGACCAGCCCTCTATCCTTGCAAGTGCGTGGATGTGTGTGAAACAATTGTGCGCGGCGTAAAAGCGACATCCTAATATTGAAACGACTATTCCTCTCTCTCCTTATGCCTGTCGTGAACTGAAAGCGCATGCGCGCGGCAAAACATGGCAACATCGCAGTTTGAAGACGACCAGCCCTCCACTCTGGTAACTGATGAAAGCCCCTCAGTTCAAGGATGGCGACTTGCAAGGAAGTCTGAAGCTTAACGTCCAGCCTTGCCTACGGACACGTCTGGTGGCGCGATTGTGTGTGATGTACAAGGAAAGAGGAGGGGCGGAGGAGCGGGAACAGAAGAGGGGGGGCGACATGAGGAGCTCGAGAAGGGACATGGGGAGGAGGACGCGAAGAAGGCCGGGGGGGAGGGAGGGGAGGAGGAAGGGGAGGCGGAGGCGGAGGAGGAGGACGACGGCGACGAGGAGGCGGAGGATGAGACGCAGGTGGCGTGGAGGAGGTGGTGGAGGAAGCGAACGGCGACGACGATGGCGGCGCTGGCGACGACGTCGATGGGGAGGGGCGCTCCAGGTGACAAGTGGTGTTTCCCGGTGGAAGTCGCCGACGTGAGCGAGGTGCCTTGCCAGGCGCGGCGGTTGCCCCGCTTGGACTTCACACTCTCGCCCCGTCTTCCCCTTCCTCGTCCTTCATTGATCCTCCCCTCATCTCAACGCCCGCACATGGGGCCCCGATTCCCGGATGCATCGAGAGGCCCAAGAGGCAACGGCGGCATCAGCAAGAGCACCGTCGGCGGCGACAGCATCAGCTTCAACGGTAGCAACAGCCAGAATGCGGCAACGACGAATTACCCTGGCGAAGGACCCAACCAAATGCACTTGTGAGCACCGTCGTTGCCTTCGGGGGATCTCGAAGGGTGTGCCGGTGTGACGCGGGGCCGCCATGTGGGCGTTGCCAGTGGTCCTTTTCGGCGGAACCCACTACGGGGCTGCGGAACGTGCGAGGGGTGCGCTGCAATGGAGCGGGCCGCCACTGGGACCGTCGGTGGAGCTCCCTATGGGTCCACGAAACAATATACTGGGTGGGGGAAACGTATGCGAGCTCAGCCACTGGGGCCTTCGGTGGAGCCCCCTATGGGGCCACGAAACGTTGTACTTGGTGGGGGAAACGCATGCGAGCTCAGCCCCTGGGGCCTTCGGTGGAGCTCCATATGAGGCCACGAAACGTTATGTTGGGTGTGGGAACCGCATGCGATAGCTGCCGCTGGGGCCTTCGGTGGAACTTCGTATGAGGCCACGAAACGTTGTATTGGGTGGTGGAACCGCATGCGATAGCTGCCACTGGGGCCTTCGGTGGAGCTCTCTGTGGGGCCGCGAAACGCTGTACTGGGTGGAGGAGGCGCATGCGAACTCAGCCACTGGGGCATTCGGTGGACCTCCCTATGGGGCCAGGAAACGGTGCACTGGGTGGGGGAACCGCATGCGGGCTCAGCCACTGTGGCCCTCGGTGGCGCTCCCCATGGGGCCACGAAACTTTGTACCGGGGGGGGGAACCGCATGCGAACACCGCCGCTGGGGTCTTCGGTGGAGCTCCCTGTGGGGCCACGAAACGGTGTACTGCGTGGGGGAACCGCATGCGGGCTCAGCCACTTGGGCCTTCGGTGACGCTTCCCATGGGGCCGCGAAACGCTGTACCAGGTGGCGGAACCGCATGCGAGCTCAGCCCTTGGACCCTTCGGTGGAGCTCCCATGTGGGGCCACGAAGCGTTGTACTGGGCGAGGGAAACGCATGCGACCTCAGCCACTGGGTTCTTCGGTGGAGCTCCCCATGGGGCCACGAAGCTTTGTACTAGGTGGGGGGCCGCATGCGAGCTCAGCCACTGGGGTCTTCGGTGGAGCTCCCTCTGGGGCCACGAAGCGCTGTGCTGGGTGGGGGAGGCGCTTACTGATGAGGGGAGGAGGGGGAGGAGGGATGAGGGCGGGAGGTGACGCGGGGCGTTGTCTTTTCAAAACGAGGACCCAACACCACAGGATGGTTGAGTAAAACAACATGACCAACGGCGCTAGAACCAAACACTACCATGACGACAGCGAGGATTGTAAGGGTTGCAAGGGCGCGATACGAAACAGGGGATAACTTAAGCCCGTTTCGCCTCCTGGCTCTGATATCGGCTTCCTTTTCATCACTCTGCAGCTGTAGCTGCCCCTCCCGCCCCTCAGCCCCGTCCCCATCATCGTCGCCATTATCGCTATCGTTATCATCTCCATGGCCCGCCTTCTCCTCCTTACAGATTCCCCGAACAGCGCTTGGAATTAGGAGTTTGTACTTACTCCTCTGAGGGAACTGGGCCTGGCTGCCCGTCTGGCGGCTCCGTGGTCGTTGTCGCCGCCCCGTCGCCGCCTCGTCGCCGCACGTCGTGTGGGCCTGGCTGTTGGTCTGGCGGCTCCGTGGTCGTTGGCGCCGCTCCGTCGCCGCCTCGTCACCGCCCCGTCGTGTGGACCTGGCTGCGATTCTGGCGGCTCCGTGGCCACCGTCGCTGCCATGTCGTCGCTTAGACTCTTGGTTTTAGGCGATGAGGGTTTTATTTCATCCCGCCCCCCGGCGTTATCGGTACCCCCTGGGATGGTGCAATTGATTTACGACGTTGCCCCATCATTCGCTCGAGAAATGTATTCACACCATACCATCCCAACCTGTATCGACACCCCCCATCATTCTCGTCAAACAGTTAGATTAAAGCTGATTTCGTTTATCACAAACCTCCCGCCAGCAGTTGAAAAATGCATTATAACGTGGCGAAGGCCCAACTGAATATAAACCATATCCAATAATGTCGTGCGCAAAAGCAGCCAAACGAGCCGCTCGCGCGGCGCGCGGCGGAATCATTCGAATGCTCTTGCGCGCGTGCTGCAGAGGGGCACGATCCCAGTCAAATATAATACAATGCGGACCATTATCACGTCGGCGCCGCGCGTGCATGTCGAAATCCTACCGAAACCTTTACCACCGACACGTGGGCACCATCATCGTCATCAGCAGCAGCACCGGCATTGGCCTGGCCGTCGTCGTCTTCATGTCTGTCATAAGCATCCCTGCTATCTGCATCGTGTCTGCCATTGTCGACGTCGTCATGATACCGGGTCGGCCCGACACATTGTGTCTTCAACAATTTCAACATCCCGCTCCAAGAAAAGCCTTGGAAACATACAAGTTTCTTGCCTACATTTTTTCGAAAATCTGCCCGCGCGCTCTTGCTGACTCCTTCAAAAACCAATGTTTTTTCAACATGCGTGTCAAAGCGGGCTGCTTGGGCAAATTTTGCGCGCGTGTCGATTCATTCAACGACGGTCGCGCGCTTGCCAGGGCCACAATCCCTTGCACAAAACATGCAATGCGGGGCACATGCGCGCGGCCGCCGCGCGCGCAGGTCGAAGTCTTTCCAAACACATTGTGGTTTCAACAATTTCAAGACCGAGCTTCATGACATCACACGAGTCGTACCGTATATATCTCCTAAACAAAATCTGCTCAAAAATCAAACATGCTATTCGCGCGCGATTTCCGAATCCTTAAACCCATGGCTTGTTTTTTTTCAACATTTCTGTCACGCGAGCAACTTATGCGCGCGCGTCGAACGCCTTCAACATCGGTCGTGCGCCTGTCAGGGCCACAATCCCTTGTCAATAATACCATGTGGGGCACATGCGCGCAGCCGCCCCGCGCGCATTTCGAAATCCTGCCAAAAATAGTGTATAATCAATATTTACAGACCGAGCTTCATGAAACCCCACGGGTCTTACAATACATCCTGAAAGAAAAAACTGCAGGTAACGAACAAGCTGTCTACCCGCGGGCTATCCGAACCCTAAAAACCAATGGTTTGTTTTCAATATCTTAGTCATGCGAACAAATTCTGCGCGCGTGACGAACTCCTTTAACATCGGTCGCGCGCTTGCCAGGGCCACGATCCCTTGTAAAACAACATCGGCCGCGCGCTTGCCAGGGCCTCGATCTCCTTTCTCGTCGGTCGCGCTTGCCGGGGCACATGCGCGCGGCCGCCGCGCGCGGATGGCGAAATCCCTCTCGTCGTCGACGTCGTCGTCGTCGTCGTCGACGCCGTCGTTTTCGTCGTCGTTGTCGTTGGCGTCGTCGTCGCCGTCGTCGTCGTTGTCGTTGTCGTCGTCGGCGTCGGTGTCGTTGCCAAGTGCCATGTGGTACCTACCGTCACGGTCTTAAGAGGTAGTGCGACTAAGTTGCGTGTGGCAGGGTGGGGTGTTTGCACGAGCAGGCGGGCCCCGCCCGCTCCTGGCCGCCTGAGGCCCCGCCTTCCTGTGCCCCGTCTCCCTAAGTAAAGCTGTGCGTAGCCCGCCTATCTTTCAGCGGAAGAGGTTGGCTCTCGCCCCGCAGATCAAAAGGATGTTTGCACGAGCAGTGGAGAGGACAGTTTCAAGACAGTCGAGTGACGCACACCACGTAGATTTCGCCATATATGGGGCGCAACATATGTTGATATATTGCGCTACATACATAGCACCACAGCGGCTGCACCACATTGGCTGCACCACGAAGATTACACAACATAAATTATACCGTCTGTATTCTTGTTCTTTCTAAATGACTTTCTAAACAACAAAGAACTTGGATCAATCCGCCCCCCCCCTCCCAACCAGGATTATCCGAGCGCCTTTCTGTATTGCTATTTACCATGTTTCTGCCCCCTTGTTGATTTTCAATGCGGAGCCATACCATTATAACCAAGCCGGGTATCGATTCGCCCCATCCTACCTTGGAAAAAACAACAACAACAAAAACATGCGCGCACATTCATTCAACAATAATCAACCATTGACAAAAATATGTTGTTAAAATTAGGACGAAATGCGCACGCGGGCGTCGTCGAGTGCGGAAGCGTTTCTTGTATAAAGTTCGCAGGTTCCGAAACGATTTCAGCATCGATTGCCCCGGGAACTGCGCGCGCCAGCGCGTCCGCAGCGAGGCGCCAGCCAGCGCCAAGCAGCCATCGCAATCGCCGCCGCATGGGTTTTGCAATCCAATTTGCGGGTGGGTAGGTGAGTGGGATGATTGCGCGAGCCGTGGAGTTGACAACCTTGTGTTTTTGGCAGGGCGAGCCGACCTCATTTATCGTACACCGCAACACATTGCACCATACAGGCTCTTGCGTTCCGTAGAATAAGTAGAATCTACAACCCACCCACCCAGGTTTTCGCGATCCCCACTTTGAGTTGAACCATGTACAAATTTTCCTGCCCCATCGATCATCTCAAATATGAGCACAGACCATCCCAGCCCAGCCAGCATCGACACCCCTGCTTATCCTCAACAAATACATCGATGCGCGCATTCTCTTTTTATCACGAATCTTGCATGTTCAACAACCCCTTGCAGAAAATGTGAACATCCACGCGCTCGCATCGTCGTGCGCGGATGACGGGATCATTCGGACGCCTCCGGTTTCGCAAGGGTTTCAAGTTCGACTTCCCCGAAAACACACGGAGACCAAACGGTATTGCAACATGTGTTCTAGCAAAATGGTTTGCGCGCGCGTTCTTGCGAACTTTCACGAAAACAATTGGTGTGCAGTTATTTCCTTCAAAGATTCAAATGCGACCCGCGGGCTTCCCGCAAAAAACAGCATAACGCCTTTGCGCGCTAGCTCGTGGGACACAATCTTGGTCACATAAGACCATGCGAAACGCTCGCGCCCGTCAACCGCGCGCGCACGTCATAATCTGTCGGACATTTTTTTTGTATAACAGGCGCGGGGACATCATCGTCATCGGCGTGATCACAATTGGCGCCGTCATTGGCCTCGCCGTCATCATCGTCACCAGCATCGCTAGTATTTCTACGTATGTCCCGTTGTCGATTTCCCGTTGTCGACGTCGCCATGATATTTTGCCCGCCCGTGCCACCAATTCGGGCTGAAATGCCTGCGCGTCAGCGTGGCCTTCAGGAAACGCTGGGGAGTCCCCACCGGTCAACGTCTCCGCGGCCCGGCCGGTCGCGCTAGACTAGATGGCCGCTTTGCGCGCGAGCGTGCGCGCACGAGCGCGGCCGCAGCGATGCGCCAGCCAGCGCCAACAAGTCATCGCGATTGCCGCCGCGTGGGCTTCGCAAACCAAGAAGCGGGCGGGTGGATGGGATGATTGCGCGAGCAATGGAGTCGACAACCCACCGCGAACAAAGAATACTGCACCATACAGATTGCGGCGCATGTATTGCGCAACAATGATTGCACCACGTAGTTTGCATCCCATAGACTGTACAATCTAGATTAAACCACCTATACAGCACAAACGTAGATTGCACCACATGTTGCACCCACATAGGTTGCACAGCATAGGGTCGGAGGATTGCCCTGCATCGCCGCTGCATCGGCGATGCGGCGCGTTCTCCGGTTTTCGGCGTCCCGCCGTCGCCGACGCATTGCTTGTGCATCGAATACGCGGCGCGGTCTTTCGACACCATCTGCTCGGACCCGATCTGGGTAGCCTCCATCCCCTCCTCATACTCCTCAGGCCCCCATGTTCCGACTTCCGCTCCCAACCCTAGCTCGTTTCTCACGGCTTCACCGAGTTTTTGGTTAGATTTGCACCTTTTCTGTTGAGGCTACGACCTCCGTTCCATGCCTTGATGGGTACGGGTGGGCTCCCTACCCGAGCGCGCACAACTCCGGCGTTCGTCTCGTCTTCTTCTCCTCCTGCTGATTTTTGCGGTGGTTGGACTCTGAACGACTGAGCTCGTAGTGTTAATTATCGAACGCGTTCCGCAAAGGACCTCAGAGAGCGTGCGAACAAATCAAATGAGCAAGATGATTACCTTGGCGCAGTCTCGGAGGGGCAGAATGTCTCTCCTCCACCTCCTCCTCCACCTTCTCCTCCTCCTCCTCCTTCTCCTCCTCCTCCTCTTCCTCATCCTCATCCGCATCATCCTCCCCCTCCTCCTGCTCCTCCTCCTCATCATCATCAGGCTCATCCTTCTCCTCTCTTCCTTTTTGCCCCCTGAAGAGCCGACAGAGCCGCCGCAGCGGCAGGCCGCATTGCGGCCTCGCCATCCGCGACAGCGGCGACGACGGCGGTAGCGGCGGCGACAATGGCGATGGCGGCGGCGGTTGTGACGGCGACGGCGGCGGCGATGACAGCGGTGGCGGCGGTGGTGGCGACGACGGCGACGACGGCAGCAGCGCATGCGATAGCGACGGCGACAGCGACGACAGCTGGCCGAACACCTAAGGTCCCTTGCTGGGAATTTAAGGGTCCCCGGAGGCTGAACAGAGGCCGAGAAGAAAGGGCCAAAGACGTCAGGATTTTTGGATCTTCGACCCTCGAACCTCGGCCCCCCCTTTCCCGAAGAGCCGGCGAACCCCACTCCTCAACCTCAGCCTCGATCTTGCCGCTCCCAGGGCTCAGGGGGCCCAAGTAGAGCCAGAAACGGCCAGAGGTCTGGATCCCGGGGCCGACGACGACGACGACGACGACGACGACGACGACGACGACTAAGGCGCGGCGACGACGTCGACGACGACGTCGGCGACGACAACGCCAACGACGGCGGCGGCGCCAGCCGTTTGCGCCGGCCGGCCGAGACGCCGCCGCGGGCAGGCCGTGTGCAGCTTCGTCGTCGAGGGCGCCCCGGCCGTGCTACTGCAGGGGGGCGTGGCCGCCGTGGCGCTGGGCCACGGCCTGGCGGAGGGCGCAGCCGAGCACCCGTACTTCGGAGGGGCGCCGGGTGTCTCTGGGCCTCCCAGATCGAGCGAAGCGAACTATACACGTGCACCGATCTTGGCAAGGCCCATCCTTGACCCAGGATCGGTGCATATGCCTTCCTGGCCAAGGTAGGAGGGCGTATCCACCGATCCTGGGCTCAGGATGGGCCTGGCCAGAATCGGTGTATGTGCATAGTTCTCTAGGCCTGCTAGATTCTGCACGAACGAGATGGGCACGGAAAGAATGGATACGATGCCCAACAGCAGTTTCTGTTCATCTTGAACAGGACTCGCTGTCCGCGCCGCCGCGGCCTGTGTCCATTCGAGGCAGCAGGCCGCCTGCCCAACAGCGGCCGCTGTTGGTTCGGGACAACATTTGCTGTTGGGCATTGTGCCCATTGTTTCCGTGCCCATTTCGGGCGTCCAAATCGATGGGGTCGGAGCAGATGGGGTCGGAGGATCGCACCGCATCGCCGATGCATCGCCGATGCGGCTCGACGTGGAGCCCCCTTTTCCTTCACGTTGACGTCGCCGATGCATCGCCCACGTCGACGATGCATCGTCGGTGCATCGCCGATGCATCGCGATGCGGCGCGATCATCCGACCTCATCTACTCGGACCCCATCTCGGAGGCCTCTAGTGGCGGAGGAGGAAAGGGGTATAGCCAGGACCCCAGGTAAAGGGATCCGGATAGGAGTAGGGCCCCGAGTCCCCGAAATGGACCAGAGTCACTAAACCAGGTCTGCCGTAACTGGTATTCTTCGGGTGACGGCAGTTCCGGTTAGTGGAACGGTGCCGGCAGTACACATAATTAAACCAGGTCCCACTAAACCCAGTTCTGCCAACGCCTGAGTCGGAGGAGGAAAAGGTACTCTTTTACACTTTCGGCCTCCAGGGGGGCCCTCGTCGCCACCGCTGGATTCGCCTCGAAATTCTGGTCAGAAGGCACCCCGGAAGAGGTCCAGGGAGTAGCGGTATCAGTACCTTTGCTCTCCCCAGGGTGAGTGCAAGCATTGGCGAGGCGTCCTGGACTGCTTGTGTGTCCACCAGAGAATGTTCTCGGAACCTTTGGTTGTGTTTTGCACGAGGTGTTTTCAGAACGTTTTTGCCCGGGGCCGTCTTGTTTTGACACATCTGCTTTATGTTCTAAGAACGTTGTTTTGGGAATTAGAACAGTTGTTTCCTAATCAGAGCTGGCCTCGGTAAGGGGTCCTAGCGGATTCATATGGTTAGGTGAGGTTCGTCGCTGATTTCGGTGGCCGGCCCGGGTGCCCGGGGGTGCCCGGGGATGCCCAGTTGTGCCCGAGGGTGCCTTGAGGTGCCGGGGGGTGCCCGGATGCTCTATCGCCCTAATAGCCCTAGTAGTTTTATAGCCCAATAGCTCTATAGCCCTATAGCCCTACAAACTTCTAGCCTTATAGTTCTATAGCCCTATAGCCTATAGCCCTATAACCCGATAGCCCCACAGCCGTATAACCCTATAGCCCTGTAGCCCCATAGCCCTATAGTCCTACGAAGACTAGGATTGGGTTTTCTTCGGTGTCATAGAAGATGTCGTTGTAGGCCTATAGGTATGCTTGGACGGTCGATGTGTGGCGACGGCACCGCAGGTCGAAGAACAACATAGATCAATCAGCCTAATTCCTCTCGCAGCTCCGCGCGGATCTCTTGGCTCGGCCCTGGGCCCTCCTTCCCTTGGCACCGCCATGGGGGCCAGCGCCGATCTCCGAGAATCCGCGCAGAGCTCCGAGAGATTCGGCTCCTGCCGTCTCGTGTTCCTCCGGCCGCGCACGGTCCACTTTGAGCGACGGGAGACAGCGGGGCCGACTGCGCGGCTGCTCGCGCCGCAAGCCTCCCGCAGGAGGTCGCGCGTGGGCGCCCTCTCCTCCACGCGGTGTGCCACGCTGGCGGCCCGCGCAGGCCGCGGCGTACTGTCGCGCTGCCTTCTCGCGCGAGACCCATGTCTCTCCGTCGCTCACTCCACCTGGGAGGTGCCAGCTGGGTGGCGACGACACCCCGAGGGGCTTGGGGCATGTGAGCGTCGAGATCCGCTTCCGCTCCCCCTTTCTCCCTCACTCCCTTCCCCACTCTCGCAACCCTGCCCCCTTGGCCCCCCTTCCCGTCCCTTCCCCTGCGTTCCCCCATTCCCCCCGCCCCCGCCGCAGGGCCCACCAACATCCGACCAGTCGACCCGATCGAGTTCGGTGCAGTCGGGTTTTCTGACGTTCTCGTCTGTTCTTGGATTTTGGAGGCGGTCGAGACCTCCCATGGGGGCCTCGAGGTTCGATGTTTTCGTGCGTTTCCGTCGGTTCTCTGCGGTTTTCCAGCCTCGGGATGTTTTCCAGCAGCTGCACCGCGCGGAAGGCGTTCTGGGGTGCCCGGATCGTCCCGATCAGCCGAATTAGGCCCGAGGCATGGTTCGAAAACCAGTGGGGACACGATCAGGGTCAATTTGGAGCCGACGGATTCGATCCGATTCGATCGATTCGATTCGCTTCGATTCGATCCGATTCGATCCGATTCGATCCGATGCGGCTTGATTCGATCGATTCGATCCGATGCGGTTTGATTCGATTCGGTTCGATCCATCGGTTCGCCCCGATCCGACTCGATGCCTATATTCCGGCGATCCGATGCGGTGTCCTGTTTGCACGGCGTTGTTGTGCATTTATGCGCAGCCGATCCGATTCGATTCCGATTCCGTACCTCGGAGGTTGATAGACCTCCTATTTTGATTTTGACACGTCGATTTGGCCGTTTTTGGTTCGCGAGAGGGCGTCGCGACCGTCATTTTTGCGGGTCCAGCTCCGTCGGTTTCGGTCCTAGGCCGTTTTCATTAAGGGGAGGTTTATTAAAGGGAGGTTTGTCCACCGCCGAGTACCGCCGCAGCCCGATCCGACGCAAATGCCGATTCGATCCTATTTCTGGACTCGATGTTGATGGATCTTGCTACCTCGAGCGGTCCCGTGTTCCAGCTGCTGGCGGCAAGCCCCACCACCGCGCCACAACAGCAACTTAGGTGGCGACGGTTCGAGGGGGTACGGAAGGCCGTGACATGTTTTTGTGTTGCCTCCAGGGTTGGGAGGGCCGTGATGAACATGATGATGGTGTTTGTGTTTGCGATGATGATGATGATGATGATGATGATGATGATGGTGATGGTGATGGTGATGGTGATGGTGATGGTGATGGTGATGGTGATGGTGATGGTGATGGTGATGGTGATTGTGATGGTGTTGATGATGATGGTGGTGATGGTGATGGTGATGGTGATGGTGATGGTGATGGTGATGATGACGGCGATGATGATGATCATGATGGTGGTGATGATGATATGGATATGGATGATCATATAAATGGTGGTGGTGTTAATGAGATGGTGGTGATGATAGTGGTGGTGGTGGTGGTGACGATGGTGATGTTGTTGATGTTGATCATGATGATGGTGGTGATTGCGGTGGTCTTGGTGGTGATGATGATGACAGTAATTAGTGGTGGTGACGTTGTTGATGATGGCGGTGACGATGATAGCGGTGACGATGATAATGCTAATGATGACGTTGGTGTTGTTGATGGTGATGATGGCGATGGTGCGTGTGATGATGCTGGTGGTGATGATGATGGTTGGAGTGGTCGTGGTCGTGGTGGTGATGATGGTGGTGGTGATGATGCTTGTGATGGCGGTGATGATAATCATAATGACAATTATGTGTTGTGGTGGTGATGATTGTGATAGTGATGGTGATGGTGCTGATGATGCTGAATGTGATGATGAGATGATGATGATGCTGATGATGGTGGTGGTGGTGATGGTGATGGTGATGGTTATGGTGATGGTGGTAGTGATTGTGATGGTGATAGTGGTGATGACTGCTAAGGATGATGGGGAAGAGGGTGAGAAGGATGAGGATGGGGATGAGGATGGTGGTGGTGATGAGGAGGATGAGGACAGGAGGAGGAGGAGGAAGTGGAAGTCCGTCACATGTGGCACTCGTTCGGGCCGTCTTGGGGCTGCCTTCGGGCCTCTTGGCCGTATGGTGGGCGTCGGGGGGGCCGTTTTCGGCAGCCGAAATGCTTGTAAGGCCGTCTTGGGCCACACGGGAGGCACTCTTGGGCAGTCTTTGGGCTGGTTTGGATGCTTCTCGGGCCGTCGTGGCACCGCGTGGGACATCTCGGGACCCTCTTCGGGGGCCTCTTGAGCAATCTTGCGGCCATCATAGAGGCTTCTTTGCCAGTCTTGAGGTGTGGGGCCAGCGCGTCCCTTCGGGGGGGGGGGAGGGGGGGACGCGGGGGAAAGGAAGGAGGCAGAGCAGAGGGGGGACGAGGGGCGACGAGGGGGGGGGCGAGGAGGGCGGAATGCATGGAGGAGGGGAGGAGGAGGAGGAGGAAGGAGGAGGAGGAGGAGGAGGAGAGAAGAAGAGTAATGAAGACAGGAGGAGATTGGAGGAGGGGCGAGTCCTCCTCTTCTCCCCCCCCTCCCCTGCTCATTACTCTCTTCTTCCTCCTCCTCCTCCTCTTCTTCCTCCTCCTCCTCCTCCGCCTCCTCCGCCTCCTCCTCGTCCTCGTCGTCGTCGTCCTCCTCCTCTTTTTTCTCCTCCTCCTCCTCCACCTCCTCCTCCTCCACCTCCTCCTCCTGCAGGGGGGGCGGGGGAATATCGTGGCGGGGGCCATGAGATCTCCCCTGACCTCACGGCGACCCCGCCTGTCTCCGTCGCGCCCGTATGCCTCGGGTCATGATTCGCGATCTCCCCTCTCTTGGACGCCCCCCCCCCATTGGACGTCCCCAGACTTCACGGCCCCTCTTCTTACTTCAGTACGTCCCTTGGCCCCCCACAGGCAAACCCCCCTCTTAGACGCCCCCCCCCAATGGACGTCCCCGATTATCGCGCCCCCCCCCCACGGTGGAACTGTGTTCGTTAGGTGACGGACAGCGGTATTAGATAACATTTGTTTCCGCCGTCGGGGAGGCCTGCCCCAGTGCGACTGGACATTGTATGCCCCCCTCCTGGACGCCCCCGAGAGGTGGCCTGCGGAAGCAGGTCGCAGTGGGATCCGGGCGCGCGCGATCTGGCCCGAAGCGCGCGCGCGCGGCGGCGGCTGGCGCTTCCCTTTGGTGCCCCTGCTCGGGGGTTGCTGAAGGTGTCTATCCTCGGCCCGAGGTTTCCCCCGCGTGTCGCTTGATTTTGAAGCCCCCCCCCCGGGCGGCCCCCTGGGCCTCACGAGGAGTGTCCCGTGGAGTGGAGGCCGCGGGTTCAGGAGCGAAGGAAGGACGTACAGTGGAAACCCATGCCAAGAAACACCCTGCTTGCCTTCAGGGTGCGCTGGGCTTCTTGGGTTTCGATGGTTTTCTGTGGAGAGCGCGACGTTCCCACACCAGAAGTCAATGGATGTCCTGGGGTCTCAGGGTGGGGCTTCTTGTGGAAGGTTTCTTGTGGACTGGCCTCCACTGCACGTGCACAAGAGCCGAGCATTTGTACTTGGGTGGAGGGCGAAGGGTGAAATCTGAAATGCCGTTTCGATGGCTTTTCGATACTTCAATCTGCAAAGGGCAGAAGGCGAATCACAAGACGGATTGGTTGTCGAGGCGCAAAAGCCAATATGGAGTTCACCCTGAGCCCTCCGCCCTAAAAAAACGCTCAGGAAGAGGAAACGGCACGCGCCCCCCTTGGCGGCGCCTCCGGCGCCGCCCCTCAGGGTGAAACCCATATGGGCAAATGCCCATATGGATTTCACCCTGAGCCCTCCGCCCCAAGAAAACGCTCAGAAAAGAGAGTCCTCACGCTGGTTCGGAAAGCTCACACGGCGCAAACGTTCGTGTCGCGAGGCTGGCTTCGCGGACCGCGGGGCCGTAACCATGTACAGTTGGAGCGCACATCAAGAAACCATGTGTTTTTCGTCGGGGTGTCCTGGGTTTCTTAGCTCCTCGCGGTGCGCGGTGACTTCCCGCAGCCGTTGAAGGAGCTGCTGCGTTCAGCTCAGGGTGCTCCGGGTTTCCCCTCAGGTGTACCTCGCGCACGGGTTTTCAGGGTTGGGTTTCTTGCGAGGGTTTCTTGCGGCCGCGCCCGCACTGTATGTGGTTGGGCGCGTACGCCCTTTGTTTAAGTCGGGCATGTCCCTCTACAGGAGGAATATTCAAAAATAGTCGAAATAGTCTGGGGGCGATGGTTCGTGTTCTTTGTCTTCCGAAATCCGCCTGCAGGAGGACATGCCCGACGTAAGGCCAGGGGCACCTCTGGCAACACCCCGACCTGCCTTTAGGCTGCTCCGGGCCGGTCAGCCTCAGCCATGTGCCGCGGCGAGGTCGCCTGCCCGGCCCCAGCGCTCCTCTGCGTCTCGCGGCGCCCCGATCCCGCGGACCGGGCTTGCTGCGACGGGGGACCAGGGGAGGCGGAGTGGGCGTCGGTCTGCCGGGGCCTCCCTTTAGGTCGGGCATGTCCTCCTACAGGCGGCTTCTGGAAGAAACTTATGAAACAGTCAGGGTGAGGGGGCCGAACGGTCATTCACTGTTCCTGGGTGCGTGGCTGAAGTGCGGATCTGTGGTGCGGATTCTGCTTGTTGTTGTTGTTGTTGGTGGTGTTGTTGTTGTTGTTGGTGTTGTTGTTGTTGTTGATGTTGATGTTGATGTTGTTGTTGTTGTTGCTGTTGTTGTTGTGGTTGTTGTTGTTGTTGCTGCTGTTGGTGTTGTTGTTGTTGTTGATGTTGTTGTTGTTGGTGTTGGTGTTGTTGTTGTTGTTGTTGTTGTTGTTGGTGTTGTTGTTGTTGTTGCTGCTGCTGCTGCTGCTGCTGCTGCTGCTGCTGTTGTTGTTGTTGTTGTTGTTGTTGCTGCTGCTGCTGCTGCTGTTGTTGTTGTTGGTGTTGGTGGTGTTGGTGGTGTTGGTGTTGGTATTGGTGTTGTTGTTGTTGTTGTTGATGTTGATGTTGTTGTTGTTGTTGTCGTCGTCCCTTCCGCGACCCGGCCCGCGACCCACCCGCGACCCACCCCGCGACCCACCCGCGACCCACCCCGCGACTCAACCGCGACCCACCCGCGATCCACCCCGCGACCCGCTCGCGACCCACCCGCGACCCACCCGCGACCCACCCACGACCCGCCCACAACCCACCCTCGACCCCGCCAACGACCCACCCGCGACCCACCTCGCGACCCACCCGCGACCCACCCCGCGACCCACCCCGCGACCCACCCGCGGTCCCCGCGACCCGCTCGCGACCCACCCGCGCCCACCCGCGACCCACCCTCGATCCACCCGCGACCCACCCGCGACCCGGCACACGACCCACCCGCGACCCACCTCTCGACCCACCCGCGACCCACCTGCGACCCAACCCGCGAACCACCTACATCGTTTGAAGAAGAAAATCGGCGCTTGCGGCGGGCTCGTTGTATAGCTTGAGAATGTTTGCCCCTGCGGCGGGTTTCTTCAAACAATGGCAGACTGCCGACGTCCCCGCCGCCCCCTCACTCTTATCCGTAACTGCGGGGTGCTACAGTGAGTAAAAAGTAGTTTAATAAATTATCAAAACTAATCCAGAAATCGTCCCCATACGTTGTTCGACTACTTTTGAAGATTCCTCCTGCAGAGGGACACGCCCGACTTAGAACTCCCCAGGTGGGGTTCCGAGCAGGTGGAGTCGGAGGATCGCGCCGCATCGCCGATGCGTCGGCGATACGTTCCGATGGCTCGATGTGGAGCCCGATGCTCTCCGCGCCGACGGTGCCGATGCATCGGCGATGCATCGGGGATGCATTGGCGATGCTGCGGGATCCTCCGACCCTATCTGCTGGGACTCCACTCGGGAGCCCCCACAGTCGGACACGCGCAGAGGGGGGCATGGGGCAGGGGGGAAGGCTTCTCAGAAACACCCGTGCTTCTGAGGCGGCGCGGGCCTTCTCTGTAGATGTAAGGCCAGCGACTTCTAAGAAGCAGCTTCCTCCTTTCCCCCCTCCCCCTATCCCCTTGCGTGCGCCGCCAACACAGGTCTCCCACGGCATCTACCTGAGCATCGCCGCGGCGGGGGTCCACAGGAGCATGGGCGTGCGCACCAGCTTCGTGCAGTCGACCGCCCTAGACGCCTGGCGGCCGCTCCACCTGCGGATGATGGAGCTCGGCGGGAACCGGCGCTTTCGCGACTTCCTCCGCGAGCAGGGCGTCCCCGAGGGCGCGCCGCTCCGCGAGAAGTACGCGACCCGCGCCGCCGCCTGGTACCGCAGGACAGGGTCCATCCTCGGTCCGGCCGATCCGGTTCGATCTCGGTGATGTCCCGATCCGATAGAGGTTCGAGGTTCGAGGTATCAGGAAGACGGTTATCGTGTTGGAAGGGTGGGGTGAGGAGAAATGAGGATATATCCTTACCCCTAGGCGGCCGAAGGTATCGTTCATTGCATCCAGATGCTTTTGCTCACGCCCTTCATGCTCCCAACCCCTTCCTCCCAACACGATCATTGTTCTCCTCAAGGTATGATGGCGTTTCCGTCGGTTCTTGGCGGTGTGTGATGCTGACCGTCCCGCGGCGAGGATCGGCTCGCGGCGCGCACAGGATGAAGGTCGGGCCGAACGAAATCTGCTGCATGCAGCTGGTTTCGGCTCCGCCGCCGGGCCCATTCCTTGATACATGGGCGCCTCCCGGCGCCGGGAGGCGCTGGGAAAATCAGCTACGTGAGCCGAGTCTCTTCCCTACCCTTTGCTATCCCCCCCTGTCGTTCCCCCCGAGAAGGGGGGGGACGCGCCCCTTCGAAGGCAGGGGCCTTCCCAGGAAGGGGCCCGGCGCTTCTCGGAAGCCGGCAAGGCTTCCGATGCCAGGAGAGCAACTCGGGGGTGGTTCAAGGTGACCCTCGAAGAAGAGAAAGCACATAAACATAAACTTTCGACGCTCCTCGCGGATTTCTTGGATCTGCGCTGGGGCCGCCTGGCGGCGCCTCCGGCGCCGCCCCTGGCGCGCTCCGCGCGCCAAGGAGGGGGTCCCAGCGCAAATGCGAGAAATCCGCGCGGAGCGTCGAAAGTTTATGTTTATGTGGTTTTCTCTTTTTCTATCAAGGTGACCCTGGCCCCAGGTGCCGCCAGCTTTTCGCTCCGTCTTGGCGCCCCTGAGGCTCTCTGGGCCTCGGGTGCCGCCAGTTTTTCGCTCCATCTTGGCGCCTCTGGGGCCCTCGCAGGGTGCTCCAAAGGCAGTGGGGGCCTCCTTGGAAATCCTGGGGGCACCTGGGGCCAGGGGCACTTCTAGCAACACCTGCCCTCACCCTGCACCTCACCGCCCACCAAGGTTGGGCCCCGATGTGCCCCGTGCCCCCCATATCCAGTGGGGGGGGGTCGGGGAACATTTTGGACACACAAAAAAACACATGAAGCTCGTACCCCCCCAGCCCGAAACTCCTGGCGAGATTCGGGTACTGGGTTCGGTTGGGGGTGGTCTGGTAGGTAGTCAGCTCCCGTGCCCTCGGGACGAGGCGCTTCCCCCCCCCCCGGGCTGACCGCTGGAACGCCGCCGCCCGCAGGGTCTCCCTCGGCATCGCAGCGCATGGGCCTCAACTGAGCGGTCTCCTCCTCCTCCTCATCCTCCTCATCCTGCTCTTCCCCATCCTCCTCCTCCTCCTCCTCCTCGTCCTCCTCCTCGTCCTCCTCCTCCTCCTCCTCCTCCTTCTCCTCCTCCTCTCTTCTCCTCCTCCTCTCCCCCTCTCCCCCCTCTCCCTCCTACTCCTCCTCCGCCTCCTCCTCCTCCTCCTCCTCCTCCTCCTCCTCCTCATCAATCATCATCATCATCATCATCATCATCATCATCATCATCATCATCATCATCCTCTTCCCGTCGCCTCCTCCTCCTCCTCCTCCTCCTCTTCTCCTCCTCCTCCTCCTCTTTTCCTCCTCCTCCTCCTCCTCCTCTTCCCTCCTCCTCCTCCTCCTCCTCCTCCTCCTCCTCCTCCTCCTCCTCCTCCTCCTCCTCATCCTCCATTCCTTTTCCTTATAAGACATTTCTCTTCGTCGCACCCCGAGGCCAGTTTTTAGGGCGGGCCAGGCGTTTCGCCTGACACTTCCTCACCACTTCTGATCTGAAGCTAAAGAGGTGACAACAGCTTCAGAGATGGAGGGCGGGCGGCTTTCAAAATGTGGCTCTCGCCGTAGCGCGACGCACGTTCGCTTTCTCAACAAGTACAACGGCTTCACGGATTGAGGGCGGCTGGTTTTCAAAATGTGGTTCTCGCCTTTGTGCCGCGCACATTCGGTTTAAAACTTTGTAAGAGTGTCACGAATTGAGGGCGGGTGGTTTTCAAAATGTGGCTCTCGCTCTAACGCCGCGCACATTCGATTTAAACCATTGCAAGAGTTCTACATAATGAGGGCGGCTCCATTTCAAAGTGTAGTTATCGCCTTAGCGCCGCGTGCATTCGCTTGTAAACTTTACAAGGATTTTACGGAATAAGGGCGGTTCCTGTTCAAATTGTGGTTCTCGCCTTAGCGCCGTGCACATTCGGTTTAACAACTTGTTGTTTCACGGATTCCCATAGTAAACGTACCAGAAATGGTGCGTTGGAGGGATTCAGCTTTATGCGGGCGTTGTTGAAGTCCCAAGCATGGTTTTCCGGCACGATTCCGGATCGTCAAGACGCAGCAGTCCGGTTGACCCGTAGAGTTGGAATCCCGAACACAATGTTTTGGCATCTTCAGGATCTTTAAACGATTGTCTTCCAACGAGGCAGTTCCCTCACTGGAAATGAGCCGTTGTAGGGGTCTAGGAAGAGGGAGCTTGGAGGGAGGGTTGTGTAATTCCAACATCGTTGATGATTCTTGGGCTTACACTGGTCCTCTTCCTCCTCCTTCTCGTCCTTCTCCTCCTCCCCCTCCTCCTCCGCCTTCTCCTCCTGCTCCTCCTCCTCCTCCTTCTCCGCCTCCTCCTCCTCCTCCATTCCTTGTCCTTATCGAACCCCGAGGCCAGTTTTTAGGGCGGGCCAGGCGTTTCGCCTGACACTTCCTCACCATTTCAGATCTGAAGCTGAACAAGTGGCAACAGCTTTAGAGATGGAGGGCGGGCGGTTTTGAAAATGTTGTTTTCGCCATAGCTCCGCGCCTATTCGTTTCGACAATTTGCAAGAGCTTCACGGATTGAGGGCGGTTGGTGTTCAAAATGTGGTTCTCGCCTTTGCGCCGCGCACATTCGTTTCAAACATTCGCAAGAGCTTCACGGATTCAGGGCGGGTGGTTTTCAAAATGTGGTTGTCGCCTTAGCGCCGCGCACATTCATTGCAGAAAATTGCAAGAGCTTCACGGATTGAGACCAGGTCGTTATCAAAATATGGTTCTCGCCCTTGCGCCGCGAACATCCGTTTCAAACAGTCGCAAGAGTTTCACGGATTCAAGGCGGGTGGTTTTCACAATGTGGTTCTCGCCGTAGCGCCGCGCACATTCGTTTCTAAACATCTGCAAAAGTTTCACGGATTCAGGGCGCGTCGTTTTGAAAATGTGGTTCTGGCTCTAGCGCCGCGCACATTCGTTTTTAAATTTTGCAAGAGCTTCACGAATTGAGGGGAAATGGTTTTCAACATGTGGCTCTCGCGTTAGCGTGGCGCACATTCGTTTTGAAATTTCCTCCCAAAAAAAATTACGGATTGAGGGCGGTTTCTTTTCAAAATGTAGTTATCGTTTTCTTCCTCCTCCTTCTCCTCCTCCTCTTCCTCCCCTTCCTCCTCCTCCTCTTCCTCCTCCTCCTCCTCCTCCTCCCTCATCCTCCTCATCCTCGTCCTCCTCCTCCTCCTCCTCTTCCTCCTCCGCCTCCTCCTCCTCCTCGGGTCGCCTACGGCCCCTTGGGAAACCGTGCAACGCGGGGCATGCACGTGTCTGTATTTGGGGCCTCTTGGAGCATGTTTCGGCGGCGAGCGAGGGGGGGAAGTGAGAAGGAGAAGGCCTTCCTCAGAAGGTTCGGAAGTCCCCTGGCCTTCGAGAAGTGTTCAAAGCTTTCCCCGCGGACAAAAAATGCCCAGAGGGCGCGAGGGTTTCTGAGAAGTCCCGCCGCCTTCTGAGAAGGCCTACTCCTTCTCGTTTCCCCCCTTCGCTCGCCGCCGAATGTTGGAAGCCATCTTGAGACATCTACGGCCACCGTGGGCCATCTTGCATGCCATCCTGGAGCACCGGAGGCCCTCCTGAGGCCATATTGAGCCAACATGGAGAATCGAAACCCCAGCAGGGGAGGGGGAGGGTACCCCAACCCCGAAAGGAAAAAGGTCCTGGAAGAGGATCCTTTGACCACTTGAGGCCCAGAGGGCTGATGGGATTGTGTTTATGCCGTTGTTTGTTCCTCTTGACGCAGCACGGCCCGACGCACACTCCCATGCACAAGAACGAGAGCTTGCAAAAACCTCAAACAGAAAGCTGTATCCGCAACATTTCTCCTCTGGGTGCAATCGGCCAGGCCTTGGGATCCTAGACTGACAATCGGCGCCCCTCTTGAATCCAGCCTCTTTTGGACACCGCCAATCCAAGAAACCCTCGCGGATCTCTATCGTCAGCATCATCATCATCAGCATGATCATCAGCAGCAGCATCAGCAACATCATCATCATCATCATCATCATCATCATCATCATCAGCATCAGCATCAGCATCAGCATCATCATCATCATCATCATTATTATTGTTATTGTTATTGTTATTATTATTATCATTATTATTATTATTAGTATCATTATTATTATTAGTTGTAGTAGTATCACAATCATCGTCATCATCACCATCATTCGGGCCGGACAGGGGGGGGTACGAAATTTGCTGCATGCAGCTGGTTTTGGCCCCGCCGCCGGGCCCATTCCTCGATACATCGGCGCCTCTCGGCGCCGAGAGGCGCTGGGAAAATCAGCTACGTGAGCTGATTCTCACCCTCCCCCTTTGCTATCCCTTCCTTTCGCCCGGCCCGAATCATCATTATCATCATCATCATCATCAGCAGCAGCATCATCATCATCACCATCATCACCATCACCACCACCATCAGCATCACCATCACCACCATCATCATCACGAGCATCAGCATCAGCAGCATCAGCATCAGCGTCATCATCCTCATCCTCATCATCATCATCATCATCAGCACCATCATCATTGTCATTATCATCATTGTCATCATCATCATCATCAGGATCGTCTTCGTAATCGTCATCGTCATCAGCCGCAGCACCATCATCATCCTCCTCCGGCCGTTGCAGGGCAGCGCAGCGCAGCCACCCCGTGGCAGCACCCTCGCCACCATGGCCCCGCGCGGGGCAACTCGAGAGCTCGAGGCTGCCTGCGGCGGACATGATGTTTGCTGGCAAGCGTGCAGCCTCTTCCGCTTGCCCCTGACGTCGAGGAAACATCAACAGCAGCAGCAGCAGCATCAGCATCATCAGCATCAGCATCAGCATCAGCATCATCATCATTATCGTTACCTATCACCGTCACCATTATGATTGCCATCAGCATCGTCATCAGCAACAACAACAGCAGTAGCAACAGCAACAACAGCAACAATCATGTTACGACTGTTCACTCCTATCTGGTCACGTACCAATCAATACGTATATCCCAAACCCGCCCTCGTCGTCTTCGATCGTACCCCCTTGGGGGTATATCTTCCTTACCTGCCACGTGGATTTAGTGCAGCCCCAAACGCAAGGGAAGAGAGGACGGGTGGAAGGGGGAGGGAGAAGAATGGAGCACGAGAAAAATTAGCAGGAGGGGTGCAAGGAGCAGAAAACAAGTGGTAGAACCAGACGGGCAGATCGGGTGGGCAGACCCATAGCGGGCAGGTCGGGAAGGCGGGCCCAGGCGACGAGGTCGAGCAGGCGGCTTGCTGAAGCGTGGGTCCTGCATGAATCGCGAGGAAGTCTCGAGCGGTATCGCGATTCCCCCTTCTAACGAGCGTGGTTCCTGCGCGCCGAGGGCGCATCGTTTGAATAAATTGCGAGGAAGTCCCACGCGAGAGCGCGATACGTGCATGAATTGTGAGGAGGTCCCGCGCGAGAGCGCGATTTGGGAATATATTGTGAGGACGTATCAGGCAGGAGCCGTTGTTGTTGTAAACCGGGGGCCAGGGGCTCAGTTTGAGCCTCGTGGCCTTCCCTGCTTAAAAGCAAGGGTGCCAGCCTGGGGGAGCACTTCATTTGAAAAATACATCGGTCACCGTTCAACGAACGTTGCCCCTCACCGCCCCAGGCGGAGCACTTCAATTGAAAAAACACAATTCTTACCGGAGGGGGGGGATCAACAATTATTATTGTTCAGTCGTGAGAGTTCAGCAAACGTTGCCCCGCACCGCCCCTCCGCTCCCGCCCGCCGCCCTGCTCCCAGCACCCCCTTCTGGACTCGCCCGCAGCGCCGTCGGCAGGCCGCTGCGCGCCCGGTGCCGCGGGCGAGGCCCTGGGGGCAGTCTCCCTCCTCCCTCCTCCCTCCTCCCTCCTCCCTCCTCTCTCCCTCCTCCCTCCTCCCTCCTCCCTCCTCCCTCCTCCCTCCTCCCTCCCCTCCTCCCTCCTCCCTCCGCCCTGAGGTCCGACGTGGCGAAGAGTCGCAGCATCGCAAAAGAGCTCGCCCAGAGCCCTGCTACGGTGCCTCCGGCGTTCGGCCCCCTGGGCCTCGCGAGGAGTGCCCTGTGGAGTGGAGGCCGTGGGTTCAGGAGCGAAGGAAGGACGTGCAGTGGAAGGCCATGCCAAGAAGCACCCTGCTTGCCTGCAGGGTGCCCTGGGTTTCTGGGGTTTGGATGGTGTTGCTACGGGAAGCGTGACGCTCCCACACCAAAAATCCATGGACATCCTGGGGTCTCAGGGTTGGGTTTCTTGTGGAAGGTTTCTTGTGGTCGAGCCCCTACTGTGGACCCCCATCTTCCTGGCTCATCTTTCGAGCCGGATCGATCTGTGAGGGCCCCGGGGCCCGAACTGAAGCGGAAACGCCCGGCCCGAACAAAAAGTCGAGGCGCCAGGGTCTCCGGGAATGCTGTTGTGCTGCTGTCTGTGAGGGCCCCGGGGCCCGAACTTTCTCCGGGAACCGACCGACCGCTCCTGATACCGAGGTAGGAGAGGGGGGGGGGGGGAGCAGGAAGGAGGAGGAGGATGAGGAGGAGGAGCAGGAGGAGGAGGAGGTGGTGGAGGAGGAGGAGGAGGAGGAGGAGACCAGGAGGAGGGGGGAGGAGGAGGAGGGGGGGGGAAGAGAGGAGGAGGAGGAGGAGGCAGGAGGAGGAGGAGGTGGTGGAGGAGGAGGAGGAGGATGGGGAGGAGGAGGAGCAGGAGGATGAGGAGGAGAAGGAGGAGGAGGAGAATAGGAGGAGGAGGAGGAGCAGGAGGAGCAGGAGGAGGACCTCCTCATCCTGCCTCTGGCAGTGGTGGCAGAAACCTAGCCCGGCCGCGCCCCTGCGCGCAGCGTGAGGAGACTGCGCGCGGAGGCCGAGGGCTCCGCGCCGCCGGAGCCCCTGGCGGCGGGCGTGGGGCACCTGCCGGAGGAGCCGTGCCCCGCGAGCGCCGTGCTGGACGGCGTGTTCGCCGAGGCGCTCGGGGGCAACGATTGAGTCGGGCCTGTTCCTCTACAGGAAGAAGAGTCAAGAACAGTCAAAACATAGTCTGGGGACTATGGTTTGAGCATTTTTCAGCCGCGCTCAGAGGGGGGTGGGGGGAGGGGGAGGGCTTCTTAGAAGCACCCCTGCTTCTTAGAAGGCGCGAGCCTTATCTGTAGATGTAAGGCTGGCGCGTTCTAAGAAGCAGCCTCCTTCTAAGAAGCCCTCCCCCTCCTCTTTCCCCTTTGTGCGCGCCGCCAAATTTTGTGGCCATTCAGGAGCATTTGTAAAGCATATTTTATTTGTTTTTCGCATAAAATCCCCCTGTAGGGGGGCACGCCCGACTCAAGGCAACGATACAGGAGGGGAGGTTCGAGGGCCGTTGGAGGTTCGAGGTTTCCGGGCGTTTTCGGACGTTCTCGTCGGCCTTTCGGCCTGGGGATGTCCTTCAGCGGCGGCGCCTCGCCGAGAGCGTTCCGGGGTTGCCCGGATCGTCCCGAACGGCCGCTGGAGGCCCGAGTTATGGCCCGAAAACCAGGGAGCGGAAGGTCAGGAGCAGTGTCTGGGGGGGAATAGGCATAGGGGGGATGCGTCGACTCCCAATCGCCCACCGATCGCCGATGGGGACTCAACACCCCACCGCGCCCAGGACGGTGCGGATTCACTATCGTGGGCCGATCGCCGATCTATCGACGATGTATCGCCGATTCCAGGTCGATTTATCCCCCGCTATGCCTATCCCCCCTATCGTGGCCCATCAGGCTCGGAAGGAGTCACCGAGTGCGTTCCACTGCAGTCGGGCCGAAGTATCAGATCGAGGTTTCGGGTCCGAGTTTTTCTCCAGGCGTTTTCATAGTTTCCTGGTCTTCGCGCTTGTTGGATGTTCTGGTGCATCTTGGGGATGGTTTTTTTTAATTTTCTGGCTGTGCTTTGGCCGGCGGAGGGTCTCATATTCTTGAGGGATGATCTTCTGGCTTGGGTCCAATTCTACAGCCGAGCATGCATTTAAAAAGCCTCCTCGCGAAAAGGTCCAGCGTTGACGACAGAATTTGGCCCAGGTTTGTTTCAAGAATTCTGCGGGAAGCCGCGGATTCTTTCAACGATGATTATCTTGATTGCATTTCGGCTGTATTCGCAAAGTGCCTGCGCGCAAACGTCCGACAAAACCGATATTTGCCTCGACGGAATGGATCGTAAATCCCCCGCCGCGGATCCAGGCCATTTGCGAGTAGTTCTTTGCGAACCAGAGGAACGCGCTTGTGCGAAAAAAGGAAACGGCACGAGCACGACAAGTAGAGTGTCGAAGTCTCGAAGCTCCGCGCGGAGTCCTTGGCTCGACGCCGGCCCCCCTTGGCGGCGCCTCCGGCGCCAGGAAGGAGGGGCAGTCCTGCGCAGATCCGAAAGATCCGCGCAGAGCTCCAAGAGTAGATGCTTACAGTCGTGCCGAGGTATAAGGTCGGGTATAGCCAGGACCCCGGGTAAGGGGACCCGGTTAGTGGTAGGGCCCTGGGGCCCCTCAATTGGCCAGATTCACTAAACCAGGTTTGCTGTAACTGGTGTTTTTCGGGTGACGGCAGTTCCGGTTAGTGGACATGGGGCGGGGGGGCGCCCCCGGTACAAATCACTAAACCAGGTTCCACTAAACCCAGTTCTGCCAACGCCCGATAAGAGCGAGGTCGGTTCGGGGAGGGCACCCTGAGGTTCTTCGTGTTGGTTGGATGCTCTGGTGCATCCTGGGAGAGGACACCCTCAGTGTTCTTGGAGGATGTTATTCTGCCCTAGGTCCGGCTGTATGCTCTTTCATCCCCCTGAGCAGTCTGACGACCTGCTCAGGTCGAGCTCCCCACCAGAGGAGGAGGAGGAGGAGGAGGAGGAGGAGGAGGAGGAGGAGGGAGGAGGAGGAGGAGGAGGAGGAGGGAGGAGAGGAGGAGGAGGGAGGGAGGAGGAGGAGGGAGGAGGAAGGAGGAGGAGGAGGGAGGAGGAGGAGGAGGAGGAGGAGGAGGAGGAGGAGGAGGAGGAGGAGGAGGAGGAGGAGGAGGAGGAGGAGGAGGCGCAGGAGCAGGAGCAGGAGCAGGAGGGGGAAGAGGAGTATACAGTTGTTTCTTCTCTTAGAGGCGAGGGCGCACGTCTCCCCGCGCGGCGACGGCGGGAGTGCGCCGAGGCCGGCGCCGCGGGCCCAGAGCACCAGGTCTCGAAGAAGAGAGGCCGGCAGAAATAGTGTCAAGTCGGGCCTGCAAGGGGGACCTTGGACGAAAAATTCAAAATACCCCCAAAATAGTTTTAAAAAAAAAAAAAAAAAAAAAAAAAAAATAGGTTTGGGACAATTTTTGGATCATTTTCTCACCATTTAGAGCCATTGTTTTGGTATTTTTCATTTTTCGTCGAAAATCCCCGACTTAAAAATAGTGAGCTTCGGAGTCGGGAGCCTTGAGACGGGGGTCAATGCAGACGGGGGTCAGCCAGAGCGCGGGATCTTTCAGGATCCTGAAGGGCCAGGGTCGCATTGACCCGGGCTTGGGTGCCGGAGCTTGCAGGATCTTGCAGGATCCTTGGCATTGGCCCGGGCTTGGGTGCAGGATATGGCAGGATTCTGCAAGGCCTGATTGCCCCTGGTCTGGATTGACCCGTGTCAGAAGATCCCCGACGGAGGTCCGAGGGCATGCCTTCACAGCCTATCGGGGGTCCTGTCGCCAACGCATCGGCGATGCACGGCCTCGTCGGCGGCGCATCGGTGCCACCAGCGCAGGGAAAATCGAGCTCCACATCGCACTCGGAGGTCTGAGCGGATCTCTCGGATCGGCGCTGAGCCCCCCCGGCGACGCCGCTGGCGCCGTCCCAGGTCGCGCTCCGCGCGCCATGGACGGACGGGGTCCAACGCCGAGCCGAGAGATTCGCGCAGGCCTGCAGGAGGTGATGCTCATGCCGATCTCTCTTCATCTCAGGTCGCTCCCGGAGCTCGCCAGCCCCGTCTCGGGTGGCGGCGGCGGCACTTCGGAGGGAAAGAGCAGAGACTTCAAGAAAGAGTTAAGAAGTATCAAGCATGATCGAAACAGCGAGAAAAATCGACACCATATCATTATATTACTAGTCCTGGGTGATACCGGAGAAAAGCCCAATCATAATCTCTGGGGCTACAGGGCTATAGGCCCTTAGGGCTACAGGACTATAGGGCTATAGGACTATAGGGCTATAAGGTTATAAGGCTATAAGGCTATAGGGCTATAGGAATATAGGGTTGTAGGGCGATTTGGCTATAGGGCTATGGGGCTTTACGGCTATAGGGCAATAGGGCTATTGGGTTATAGGGCTATAGGGCTATTGCGCTACAGGGCTATACGGCTATACGGCTATAGGTCTATAGGGCTATAGGGCTATAGGGCTATAAGGCACGCGGGCACTCCGACACCGCAGAAATCTGCGGCGAACCTCACCCGGGTACGCGGGCGTGCCGCCGAAATCGGCGCCACAGCTAACCTAACCATATGATACCAGAGAAACCCCAAGCAGAATGTGTTTTGGGTTATAGGGCTACGGGGCGGGGCTATAGGGCTATATGACCATAGGGCTATAGGGCTATCAGGCTATAAGGCTATAGATAGGGCGATTGGGCTACGGGGCTGCAGGACAATAGCGCTAGAAGGCTGTGGGGCTATAGGGTTACTGGGCTATTGGGCTATAGGGCTGTTGGGTTATAGGACAATAGGGCTGTAGGGCTGTAGGGCTATAAGGCACCCGGGCACCGCGGAAGTCGGCGGCGAACTTCACCCGAGCACCCGGGCACCGGGGCACCCGGGCGTGCCGCCGAAATCGTCGCCACAGCTAACCTAACCATATGAATCCGATGGGACCCCTGCAGAGGCAAGCTCTGATTGGGGAATGAATCCGCTAGGACCCCTAAAGAGGCAAGCTCTGATGGGGGAATATTCTTCCTGTAGACGGACATGCCCGACTTAAGCAGAGACCGTGACCCCAGCGCCATGACCCACGCTCTTGCACATCGTCGGCCCTGCTATGGGGCGGAGGGCTTCGTCGCCACGGCCGGACTTTGCCTCTGAGTTCCGGGTCAGAGCGCTCCCCTGGGGAGAGCCTGGGTCTAGGCCTCCCAGATGGGGTCGGAGTAGATGGGGTCGGAGGATCGCGCCGCATCGCCGATGCAACGGCAATTCGGCTCGATGCAGGGCCCGATTTTCTCCACGCGATCGTCGCCGATGCATCGCCGACGTCGCCAGTGGCGATGCCTCGCCGATGTGTCGGCGATGCGGCGAGATCCTCCGACCCCATCTGCTCGGATCCCACCCAGGAGGACTCTCGAAGTGCCGGGGGCTGCAGGAGGCGCACGCATGGACCCCGGCGCGTGGATGAACGACGGAGCCCGCTGCCGTGTAGACTCGGCGCGCGCCCAGTCGCCAGGTTGAGGAGGCATTGGCCTCCGGTTCCTGGCTTGCTGGCGTGCCTGGCCCCTCCGTCGATTGGGCGCCCACGCGCTGGGCGTCTGCCCGCGTGGCCGCCGGGGCAGCAGTGCCGGTGAGGAGGAGGAGGAGGAGGAGGAGGAGGAGGAGGCAGGAGGAGAGGAGGAGGAGGAGGGCGGAGGCGGAGGGGAGGGGGGAGAGGAGACGAGGAGGGAGGAGGATGAGGAGGAGGGGAGAGGAGAGAAAGGAGGAGAGCGAGAGCAGAGGAGCAGAGAGAGCAGGAGGTGCAGGAGAGAGGAGGAGGAGAGGGAGGAGGAGGAGGAGGAGGGGAGGAGGAGTGGAGGAGGAGGTGGAGAGGAGAGGAGGAGGAGGAGGAGGAGGAGAGGAGGAGGAGGAGGCGGAGGAGGAGGAGGGAGGGAGGAGAAGAGGAGGAGGAGAGGAGGAGGAGGAGGGGAGGAGGAGGTGAGGGAGTGGAGGAGGAGGAGGAGGAGGAGGTGGAGGAGGAGGAGGAGGAGGAGGAGGGGAGGAGGAGGTGGAGGAGAGGAGGAGGAGGAGGAAGAAAGGAGAGAGGGGAGGAGGAGGAGGTAGGTAGGTGAGGAGGTGGTGGAGAGTGAGGAGTAGAGGGAGTAGGAGAGGAGAGGAAGGAGGAGGAGGAGAGGAGAGGATGAGGGAGGAGGAGAGAGAGGAAGGAGAGGTGGAGAGGTAGGAGGAGAGAGGATGAGGGAGAGGAGAGAGGAGGAGAGGAGGGGATGCCGGCGGAGGAGGGAGGAGGCGGAGAAGGAGGAGGAGAGAGAGGAGGAGGAGGAGGAGGAGGAAGGAGGCGGCGTAGTAGGCGGATGAGTGGCTCTTGGCGGAGGAGGAGGCTTCTGAAGGCATGCTTCTGCTGCGGAGGAGATGGAGGAGTCGCGTGTGCTGGGAGCGGGGGCGGCTTCGGGGATGATGTAGGTCTGGTACTGATAGGATGACGGAGCAGGAGGATGAGGAATAGAGGAAGAGAGTGGCAGAGGAGGCGGGAGAGGATGACGAAGGAGAGGAGGGAAGGGAAGGGAGGCGGAGAGGAGGAGGGAGGGAGGGAGGGAGGAGGGAGGAGGTTAGAGGGGGGAGCGAGAAGGGAAGACGCGGGATGGAGGATGGAGGATGGAGAAGGAGGATTGAGTGTGGATGATGGATTGGGTATAGCCAGGACCCCACGTAAGGGGACCTGGTTAGTGGTAGGGCCCCGGAGCCCCCAAATCTGCCAGAATCACTAAACCAGGTCTGCCGTAACTTGTGTTTTTCGGGCGACGGCAGTTCCGGTTAGTGGAACGGGGCGGCGTCCCCCAGTACACATCACTAAACCAGGTCCCACTAAACCCAGTTCTGCCAACGCCCGAATGGAGAGTGCAGGACGGACGGAGGCAGGCTCCTGTCCCTCCAGGCATATGATGTTCCAACCTACTTTAGCCTTGATTACCAGAAGGAACTTCGAGCACTAAGAAAGTACCGAAACTCTATGGTTTTCACGTGCCAGGCACTGTGACACACTCGTCCGACATTGTTTCGATATTATTTCGACACTTTTCCGTGTGTTCGAAATTATTTTGGGGATGTGTTCCTAAAGTACAGTCGGTCCACAGAGTAAGGATAGGCATCCTTCCCAAGGGTACCCTTGCATCCTTGCTTCCTGGGTCCATCCTTGGCCACTTTCGTAGGCCGCGCCCCGCTCGAAACGCTTCGGATTGGGCGTCCAAGGCCCTTGCATCCTCATCGCGCCTCTTTACTCTGCGGGTTGACTGCGCACGATGGGAGCAACATAACTCCAGGCATGGGGAAGCTCGTGTGCGACGGCCTCACCTTCGCCGTGCGCCTCGCGGGCATGGCCGGGAGGCGCGGCCCGGGCCGCGCTGCCGGCGGCGACGGGACTCGCCCTCGGCCTCTGCACCTCTGCAGACGGCAGTTGCAGCCAGGGCCAGCGTTGAGTCGGGCATGCCCTTCTTCATTAGGAATTCTTTTAAAAACATTCAAGAACAAGAACAACAAGAAATGCCATGGGAACGATTTGTTTTATCATTTTGGGGCAATGTTTCCATGGGTTTCGACCCTGCTCTTTTTTTCGCCCACAATCCGCCTGTTGGAGGGCATGCCCGACCTAAGGCCAGGGCCAGACATCCTGGCGTCTCGAAGCAATCGGGACGGAGGGCTTTGTACCGTTTTCGGACTCTCGGGGCCCTTGTCGGGCCTCGGGCCCGTCAAATAACGGCTCGCGATGGACCACCATTCCGGGGAGAGTTGTTGAGAGGTCGGGGCTCGAAAAAATCGAGGCGCCGGACGGCTGGCTTCTAGCCTTCCTAAAATAGGGTCCGAGTAGGTGGGTCAGAGGATCGCGCCGCATCGCCGATGTATTGGCGATGCGGCTCGATGTGGAGCCCGATCTTCTCTGCGCCGACGATGCCGATGTATCGTCGACATCGCCAGCACATCGCCGATGCATCGGCGATGCGGCACGATCCTCCGACCCCTTCTGCTCGGACCCCATCTAGGAGGCGACGATTCTCTTTTCGAAAAGAGTATCAGGATCTCCCCCCCCCCCCCCGCGCACGTTAATGTGCACCTTTTTCGTACGTTTCGCAGTTCATTATGTACATGTGTCAATTGTATAGATGAATTCATGCCACCCAAAGCAGTCCGGTGATCGACCCGTACAAACACTGTGCGTGCATACTCGCTTATCAAAAACAACCAGTTGTCAATAATAGTTTGCAACAGGTGGGACGCAGTGCACACGCGCGCGTCGTCGCGCGCGCATGCCGAAATACTTCGAAAACATTTCTGGTTTCGGAAAGATTTCCAAATCGAGCGTCCCAACCTTTTCCAAACATATGGCGACTATACCCAGGACCGCCCACTACCAACGAACAGATTGAAGGACCCGCAGTGCGCATGAGCACCCAGAAGTGAATTCAGAAGAGCACGGCTGCTGGAGTACGGGAGTAACGGCTGGGTCTGCGTACATACACCTCCACTCCGCTGATCCTCCCACCGGCCTCGCAAGGAGCCGCGAGGTCTCGGCGAGGTGTGCGAGTCACCCCACGCCGCACCGCTTGCCCGGAGCCCACGAAAGTGGCGGCGGTTGCGCAATTGCCAGCCCCCCAGGGAGCCGCGAGGTCTCGGCGAGGTGTGCGTGACACCCCACTCCGCCCTGCCTCGCAAGTGCCAGCCCCCAGGGAGCCGCGAGGTCTCAGCTGGATCCGCTTGGCCCCCACTCCGCGGGACCTCCCAGGAGCTTGCGAAAGTGGCGACAATTGCGCACTTCGCAGCCCCCCCAAGGGAGCCGCGAGGTCTCGACGGAGTCCGCGTGACGATCGACTGCGCTGGACTTCCGAGGAGCCGACGAAAGTGGCGACAGTTGCACGCTTCGCAGCCACCCAGGGAGCAGCGAGGTCCCAACACTGGATCCTCGTGTCCCCCACTCCGCTGGACCTCCCAGGAGCCCACGAAAGTAGCGACTTCCCAGGGCCCACGAAAGTGGCGACAGTTTCACACTTCGAAGCCCCTCGGGAAACCGCGAGCTCCCAAGTGGATTCCCGTGTGACTCCACCCCGCGCGACTTCCCAGGAGCCCACGAAAGTGGCGGCTGTTGCGCACATCGCAGCCCCCCAGGGAGCAGCGAGGCCCCAACCCGATTCCCGGTACAACTCCTCGCCGCGGAGCGTCCCAGGAGCCCGCGAAAGTGGCGACAGCTTTACAGTTCGCAGCCCCCCAGGGATCCGCGAGGTCTGGGCTGGATCCGCGTACCACTCCACGCCGCTGGACCTCCCAGAAGCCCACGAAAGTTGCGACAGTTTCACATGTCGCAGCACCCCAGGGAGCCGCGAGGTCCCAATTGGATCCCCGTTCAACTCCACGCCGCGGGATATCCCGAGAGCCCACGAAAGTGGCGATAGTTTCACACGTCGCCCTGCCAGGGGGCCGCAAGGCTCCAAGCCGATCCCGTACAACTCCACTCCGTGGAACTCCCCAGGAGCCTACGAAAGTGGCGACAGTTGCGCACGTCGCACTTCCCCGGGGAGCCGCGAGGTCCCAACGGAGCTGCGGCGCAAGCAGGACGAAGGAGCGAAGGGAGGAAGAAGAGACGGAAGAGGAGGCAGGAGACAGAACGTAGGAGGCAGGAGGCAGGACGAGGGGGGGGGGGGAAGGAGGAGATTCGATTACAGTACAGTCAGTTCTTCACAGCGAGAGCCCAACGCGGGAGTGGTGGGAACAATGGCCTCGCAAGAGGACAAGTCAAACACGAACGCCACTGCGCGCGCATTGTCGCAATAACCCCTGCCGGATAGGGGACGACGTGCGCGCGCGCGTCGTCGCGCACGCATGCCGAACTCCTTCACAAACCTGAGGCCTCGCAAGGATTTCAACGTCGAGTTCCCCGAAAACCTTTTTCATATAAAACATGGCTTCTACAGGAATGTTGAAAAAAGCCTGTCACCATGATACCGCGCCCGAAGTGCCCGCGCGTCACAGCACGGCTCGCTAGACGTGCCAGGAAGTGCCCAGCGGTCAGCGCCACCGCGGTCGCGTCGGCCGCGCCAGACTATATGGCCGCTCTGCGCGTGAGCCTGCACGCGTCGTCAGCACCCCGCAGTCATGGCACTCGCTGGCGCATGGGTTTTGCAAACCACGTTGCGGGCAGGTGGGTGGGATGATTGCGAGAGCAGTGGAGCTGACACTTTCGAGTTCGGCAGAGTGAATGCGCAGCCATAAGATTCATCCAAGCACATACCCCACAGAAGAGCCGGAGTTGTCTAAGAATATGTGGGTCACGCTCCGCGTATCCCCAGCAGCCCATCCAGAAAGCTTGCCGATGAGAACTGGCGGGGGAGGGACGAAGAGACACAGATAGTGAAACAGAGCGGGCAACCAGGGTGAAACGAGTAATCTCTGGGAGCAGCGGCCGTGGAGGGCCTCTTCGGGTCATACACGGTGCACGCGCAGGGGCGAGGGAATGAGGATGAGGTGGCAGACCAGTGTGAACCCAAGACTCATCAACGATATTGTAAGAAACCGTCCCTCCAATCTGCCTCTTCATAGGCTTCTGCACGGGCTTTCTTCCAGTAAGGAAAAAACCGTTGGAAGACAGCCTTTTGAAAAGGTGGAATGATGCTAAAAACCCGTTCTTGTGATTGCGTTGCGTCATGACGATACGGAATCGCGCCTAAACACAAGTTTGAGGATTTCGACACCGCAAGTCAACGTGATTCTTGCGCTGACATTCCGACACCGTGCCAAAACACCGTTTCTGGTACGTTAACCATGAGAATATCTGATTCCTTGCAAACTCTGAAAGAGAATATGCGCAGCGCAAACGCGAGAGGCACATGTTGGAAAGGTACTGCCTTCCAGCCGTTAAATTCTTGCGAGCGTTTAATGCGAATGCGTGCGGCGCTGAGGCGAGAGCCACATGTTGAAGCCGAACCGCCTTCCATCCGTCAAACTCTTTACAGCGTTGTCAGACGAATGCGCGCGGCGCCAAGGCGAGAGCCACGTTTAAAAAACGGACCGCCCTCCATCCGTGAAATTGGAGCGCGCGGCGCCAAGGCCAGAGCCACATGTTGAAAAGCGGGCCGCTTTCCATACGTGCCATTGCTGCAAATTTCAAGCTTCAGGAGCACACAGCGTGAGGAAGTCTCACGCGAAACTCCCGGCCCGCCCTTTCAATCAGCCTTTGGCTGCGACAGGAACGAGCTATCTAAAAGAGAAAACAATGGAGGAGGAGGAGGAAGACGACGACGGCAAGGATGAGGAGGAAAAGGAAAAGAAAGACGAGGAGGGCAAGGACGAGGAGGAGGAGGAGGACAACGTGAACGAGGACAATGCACTCAAAATCTCCTATTGGAGCCCTTTTGGTGGCTCTTTTGTTGATCTTGGGATCATCTTGGGGCTCTTTTTGGCGGTCTTGGGGCCCTCTTGGGGCCCTCCTGGGGCCCTCTTGGGGGCCCCCTGGGAGCCCTGGACCGCCTCTTGGGGCCATCTTGGAGGCCATTGATCAAAGGGGGGGTGTCTTCAATATTGTCCCTGACACCTCGCGGCCCCCGCCAGACAACCTCAGGGAGGGATGGGGGGGGCACCCCTCCCCCAAGGGAGGAGGGATTCTGGAAGAGGAAAGAAGGAATTCGCTAGACAACCTTAGCCCAAACGGCGGGTGGGATTGGAGCCGTCTGGGGGTGCTTGAGGTGGCCCAGCACTGGTTCTGGCCGGCAGGAAGGGCGGGCAGTCTCGAGGTGAGGTGTTCTTTGCCTCCTTGGGCCTCCGGGGACCGTTGCGGTCCCCAGGACCGTCAACAACGGATCTGGGGTGAAAATTTGCACCAGATGGACCCCGGCAGGGGTCTGGGGACCGACGGGAGAGAACGAAAGAAACAGGAAACGATTGCGCCGGCATTCGCGCGTGAGTTTCTTGCGTAAGGCCGCGCGCAAGCGCTCTCGTCTCCAATGTGGTGCGCCGCCCTGACGGCCTGCGCAAGCCGCCGCGTAAGGTCGCTATGTCAGATTGCCTAAGTCACGTGACTTGCCGTCGCTCATTTGTATATGCGACCACCGTGCCCGGCCAGGGCCAGGGCCCTTGGTGGCCTTGGGCCAGGGTCACTGGCTGCGCTGGTCAGGCGTGGCGTTGGTGGTGCAGGTGCCCTCTGCATACCATCATCTCCCCTCTCATGCATCCGACGTCATGATTTTTCCACAGCGTGGTTCCCCAGAGGTCTGGACGTCAGTCCAGACCTCAGTCATTTTTCAGGGCCTCAGGGCCCTGTTAAGCGTAAGGGCTTGGGCCATGTAAAATTGCGCAATAACGAGAACACAACAGCAACAACGACAACGACATCAGCAGCATTAGCAGCAGCAGCAACAGCAACAACAACAGCACCAGCTACAGCACAAGCAGCAGCTGCAACAACACCCATCATGTTCAGACTGGTCGCTCCTATATGCTCGCGTGACATTCAACACGTGTATCCCAAACCCTCGGTACCCGCCCTTTTCGTCTTCGATCGTACCCCCTTGGGGGTATATCTTCCTTACCTGCTACGCGCATGTACTGCAGCCCCTAAAACAGGGGAGGAGAGGACGGATGGAAGGGGGCGGGAGAAGGATGCAGCATTAGTGAAATTAGCAGGAGGGGGGCTAGGAGCAGGAAACACATGGCAGAACCAGACGGGCAGATCGGGCGGGCAGACCCTAGCGGACGGGTCGGGAAGGCGGGCCCAGGCGGCCAGGTCGAGAGGGCGGGTTGTTGAAGCGCGAGCCCAACAACAACAACAACAACAACAACAACAACAACGACGACAACAACAACAACCACAACCACAACCACAACCACAACCACAACAGCAACAGCAAAAGTCATTGTAAGAGTGTTCGCTCTTACACGCGTGCGTGTCTTTCAACACACATATCCAAAACTCTCGCTACCCGCCCTCTTCGTCTTCGATCGTACCCCCTGTAGGGGTAGTTTTTTTTTCGCCTGACACGGGTCATTGGCGCAGCCCTTAAACGGGAAGTCGAGGGAGAAAGGAAGGGCAGCGAGGGGGCCACCCAGGAACCGGGCCACGAAGGGCAGCGAGGGGGCCAGGAAGGGATGCAAAGGGAGCACGACGGGCAGCGAGGGGGCCACGAAGCGTTGCGACGGGGCCACGAAAGGCTGCGAGGGGGCCACGAAGCGCTGCAACGGGGCCAGGAAGGGCAGCGAGGGGGCCACGAAAGGCTGCAACGGGGCCACGAGGGGCAGCGAGGGGGCCACGAAGCGCTGCAACGGGGCCACGAGGGGCAGCGAGGGGGCACGGGGCACGGGGCCACGAAGGGCAGCGAGATCCCGATTCCCAAGTAAGCTGTGATGGAGCGAGGGGGTCCCAGGCGTGAGCGCGACTCCTGGGTGCCTGAGTGTCGGGAGCGCGGCGCTTGCTTACATTGGGGGGAACTCCAACGCAAGAGCGAGAGTCTTGAGTAAACTGCGAGAAAAAACTGTGGGAGCGCGACTCCAGAGCGCCGAGAAAGCGATCACCCCTGAAGAAAGCGTGAGGAAGTCCCAAGCGCGAGCGCGATTCTTGAGCAAAATGCGAGGAAGCCTCGGGCGGGAGCGGGGTCCTGGCCAAAGTGTAAGGAAAGTCTCGGGTGGGAGCCGTTGTTGATGCAACCCGGGGGGGGGCCAGTGGCGCAGTTCGACCCTTGTGATCTTCCCTGGTAAACAAGAGTCGGAGGTGGATAGACCTCCTACCCTGACACGTCGATTAAGGAATTGGTCGTTTTCAGTTCGCGAGAGGCGTGGCGGCCGTCATTTTTGCGGGTCCAGGTCCATCGGTTTCGGTCCCAGGCCGTTTTCACTAAGGGGAGGTTTACTAAAGGGAGGTTTGTCCACCGCCGAAAGAGGTTGCGAGCCCCTGGGGGAAGCAGTTCAATTGAAAGAACACAATGGTCGCCAGAGGGGGGATTAACAAAATGTAGTTTTTCCGGTAGTGGGAGTTAGACAGTTTGCTGTTAGCTGCTCGCGTATCACTCAACATGTACATCCCAAATCCTCGATGCCCGCCCTCTTTGTCTTCGGGCATACCCCCGTTGGGGGGCATGTGTTCCGTGCCTGCCACGCGTACGTGCAGCAGCCCCTAGAACAGGGGAAGGGAGATGGCAAGGCACAAGGGGGGGGAGGAGGATGGAGCACGACAGCCGCTCAAGCATCACCTGGACCCCTCCCAGGGCTCATCTTGGCAACTTTTCCAAGCCGCCCTCCTCCTCCTCCTCCTCCTCCTCCTCCTCCTCCTCCTTCTCCTCGTCCTCCTCCTCCTCATCCTCCTCCTCGTCCTCGTTAGCGCCAGGGGAGTCAGGAGCCGAAACAAACAAGCAGCAGGACCAGACGGGCGGACCGCGGACCCGAACGGGCGGGTCGGGCGAGCGGGCCCCAGACGGCGGGGTCGAGCGGGCAGGTCGTGGGAGCGCCGGTCCCGCACGACTCGCGCGGGGGTCTCGAGCGACAGCGCGATTCCCACGACACTCGCCAGGGCATCCAGAGCGAGAGCGTGATGCGCGAGTGCTAAAGGCGCGGCGTCTCGATACCTTGCGAGGAAAGACAAAGGGAGAGCACAATTCCTGCACAAACTGTGAGGAAGTCCCGCGCGAGAGCGCGATCTTGAATAGATTGTGAGGAAGTGCTGACCAGGGGCACTATATGAGGCCCACGACGTGTCCTTGAACAAACAGGTTGCGAGCCCTGGGAGGACCATTTGAATTGAGAAAGCACCTTGTGCAATTGGCAGGGGGATCAACAATATTCATTCTTTAGATATGAGAACTGAACCGTGGTTATATAGTGGGGGCCACGCCAAGGAACACCATGCTTGCCATTAGGGTGGCCTGGTTTTTGGGAGGTTCGAGTTTTGCGATGGAAGGCGTGACGTTCCCACCAAAAATCAATGGACGTCCTGGGGTCTCTGGGTTGGGTTTCTTGCTGGATATTTCTTGCGGACGGGCCCTTACTATAAGCCTGCTCGCTTTTCGTTGCCCGTCTATCACTCAACATGTATACCATCAACCCTGGATGCCCTCACCCTCCGACTTCGATCGCACCCCCTCTGGGAGTGTATCTTCCCCGTCTGCCACGTGTACTTGGCGCGGCCCTTAAAATAGGAGGAGGGGGCGGAGGAGGAGGAGGAGGAGGGGGCGGAGGAGGAGGAGGAGGAGGGGGAGGGGGAGGAGGAGGAGAGGAGGATGAGGAGGAGGAGGAGGAGGAGGAGGAGGAGGAGGCGGAGGGAAGGAGGAGGAGGAGGAGGAGGAGGAGGAGGAGGAGGAGGAGGAGGAGGGGGAGGAGGAGGGGGAGGAAGAGAGGAGGAGGAGGACGAGGAGGAGGAGGAGGAGGAGTAGGCGGAGTTGCAGGAAGAGGAGGAGGAGGCGAAGGAGAAGGAGGTAAAACGCAAAAGGGAGAGAGCGAGGAAAGGAGGATTACACGAGAGGGCGCGGGGGCAAGAGGAGGGCAAGACGAGTGACCGCGAAGAAGATTCAGCAGGGGGGGAGGAGCAAGTCAGTGCGCAGGCAGGGTGACGGGCGGGCCCTGACGGGCGGGTCGGGCGGGCGGACCTTAACGAGCGTGCTGGGCCAGCCCCTAAAGGAGGAGGAGGAGGAGGAGGAGGAGGAGGAGGAGGAAGCACCCGAAACGAAAAGCTGGACCCTGACGAGCAGGCCGGGCGAGTTGACCTTCACAGGCGGATCGGGCGGGTGGGTCGGGCGGGGGGTCGATCGGCGAGGCCTCATCTGATTCGGGGAGGACGTCGCGCTCCACTGGACTTTCCAAGAGCCCACGAGAGTGGCGACGGTCTCGCAGGTCGCAGCCCCAGGGCGACGGCGAGGGCTCACCTGATCTGAATCGGGCGTCACTCCGCCGGACCTCCCAGCGGCCTTCGAAAGCGGGGACGGTCTCGCTGCTCGAAGCCCCCAGCGACGGCGAGGTCTCATCTGATTCGAGTAGGACGTCGCTCGCGATGTCCTGTTTTTTTCAGGGCGGCGTCCCCAGAAGTCCCGATTCTTTGCCCGGGGCCAGTTTTCGTCTTGAGTCGTGCTTCGGCGGTCCCGAGGCCCAGCGATGCCCCCCCTTAGGCCGAAAACTAGCAACAAAACCTCCCTTCCTGATTTTTTATCGACGCGATCATGTCTGAGTTTAAGTAGGGCCTGTCCCTCTACAGGGGGGAAATTCAAAAAGAGTAAAAACAAAAATAGACGGGGGATTATTTTTGAAATATTGTGGAGCAGTTTTGCGGTCATTTTTGTCTGAGTTTCATGTTTCGTCCAAAATCCGCCCGTATGGGGGACGCCCGACCTGACTCTGGGGACACCCCCGAACCTGCAGGAGCCCCGCGAGGGGCGCGGCGCTGCCCGGCACGCCCGCTGGACGGGCCCACGCGCACGGGCCCGCCGGCTCAGGCGGCCTGCGGGCCAGGGGCTCCGGCGAGGGCGCGGGGGCGGCGACCGCCGCCTCTGTCAGCTAGGCAGCGCGGCCAGCCAGCGGCGCGCAGAAGTCCAGATCTTTCGGGCAGGTCCCTCTACAGGAGGAGTAGTCATTCAAAAGTAGTCCAAAATATTCATTCAAAAGTAGTTCATAAACGGAGTACTCATTCAAAAGTAGTCGGGCAGGTCCCTCTACAGGAATATTCATTCAAAAGGAACGAATTGGGCTCTTTTTGCACATGTTTGGGGCATTCTTTATTTTTCGTCCAAAATCCGCCTGTGGGGGGACATGCCCGACTTAATCTTAGGGAATCGAACAATGACATAAACACAAAAACTCGGAGGTCCGCGCGGAGTTCTCGAATCGGCGCTGGACCCCCTTCCCTGGCGCGCGGAGCGCCCCAAGGGCGGCGCCAGAGGCGCCGCCAGGGTGGTCCAGCGCGGATCCGAGAAATCCGCGCGGACCTGCGAGTTGTTATGTTTGTGTCATTGCTCGTTTCCCTAAGATCTTCCCGAGTTTTTGTGTTTATGTCATTGCTCGATTCCCTAAGATCTCCAGCGCTGTGGTGTCTCGCCTCTGGGCGTTTTTTTCCTCCAGCTCGCCCCCTGCAGTGGGGCCCGTGGCCGGGACCATCCAAAGATGGAGCCGGGACAAAAGAAAGGATCCGCGGGGGGACCTGTATGTGATGGGCAAGGTTTCCACCACCACTGTGGGTAGGACGTGGGGGAAGGGATGATGGGGAGGTCCTCCTCCTCCTCCTCCTCATCCCTCTCCTGCCTATGGTAGTGGTGGTGGTGGAAAATCGGCCCATCAGTATGGGGCCGGGCACTGACAGGACCCCATCGCCAGGTGCTTGGGAGTGTGGCGCCGCAGACTCTTCTGGCCCCAGCTTGTGTCCAGGTCTTGGTATCGCTCGGACGTGTGCAGTTTCTTTTTCTTCGGACCGAGGAGCACCCTCGATTCAAGTCGGGCCCTCTACAGGAGGAACATTCAAAGATAGTCAAAAATAGTCTGGGGACGATGTTTTGCATTCTTGTTGGTTATTTGGGGGCATTTTTGAATAATGTTTAATGTGTCGCCCAACATCCACCTGTAGGGGGACAGACACTCCCGACCTAAGCCTTAATCATCTGGCAAGAAAGCTCAAGCAGTGGCGAAGCGTCCTGGCCCGCCTATAGCCCCACCAGAGAATGTTCCAAGAACCTTGTGTGGCTTCCACGAAGTGTTCTCAGAACATGTCTGCCTGAGACCGTCTTGTGTGATCACATCGGGCTTAGGTTCTGAGAACGTTGCGCTTGTGCTTAGAACATTTGGGGGTTCTAAGAACATGTCGTGGTAGGGCTGTGAGAATGCCGGGACGGTAGTCAGAGCGCAAATTACCTACCCCGCTTTCGCTTCCAGGCAAAACCAAGTCATACCACGCGCCTCCTCGTCAAGCGGCCTGACCAGTACAGGCCGTAGTTTGGCATCGTTTGGTATCTCTTGGAAGCGAGGGTGGTCCCTGCTCGCGAAGCACGCACGAAGTCGACAACATGCACCCCCCTTGGCACGGACGTCCGAGCGAGGGCGCGAGGCGGCGCCGCCTTTTGCCCCGTCCGACGCGGGGCGGCCTCTGTGCCGAGCCCCTTCGTCAGCGAGCGGGCCCCGCGGCCACGGCTTCGAGCCGGGCCTGTCCCTCCGACATGAGGAGTGCAGTCGAGGCGCTGGAATAAGGAAGTCTTTGGGTTCGGGAGGGGCTCGAGGTTCCCTGGGTTCCTCCTCTGCTGTCCCTCTCCGCCCGCCTCGGGCGCGGAGGCGCTCTGGGGGCCAGAAGGGGGCTTCGTTCCTTATGTAGCGTTCCGTCTGTCAGCGGCCCGACTGTACTCAGGAATAGTCAAAAAAATAGTCTGGGGACGATTTTTCGATTACCTTTTAGAATGTTTGCGCATTGTTTGGCTATTTCTGTTTATTGTTCGCCCAAAAATCCGCCCGTTGGGGGGCACGCCCGCCTTAGCCACAGCTGCCCGAGCCTGCGCCTGGGGAGGGCCGGGGCGGGCCCGCCGCCCGCCTGCAGGCATGGGCGAGGCGTCCGGCTGTAAGTCGGGCGTGTCCGTCTACAGCCAAGACGCTGAAATAAGGACCGCTTTGGGTTCGGAAGGGGCTCGGGGATTGGGGTCGTTTCGTAGATTTACGTCGGGGGATTTGCTTGTGGCCTAGGCCCACCGTGGCCAGAAAAGTCCCTTTCTTCCTCATTTGGCGTTCCTTCTGATAGTACCTCGACTGTACAGGAGGAGTGTTCGAAAATAGTCACACAAGTGGCGAGGCGTCCTGGCTTGAAGTCGGGCGTGTTCCTCTACAGGAGGGAGAATCAAGAATTGGCAAAAAAAATAGTCTGGGGACGATTTTTGATTGTATTTGTAGGCATGTGTTGACCTAATCCTGGCTTGCCCAGAGGCCCACCAAATAATGTTCTGAGAGAAGGTTGTACTTCGCGCGGGCTGTTCTAGGAGCCTCTCTGGCTGGGGCCGCCTTGTCTTCATACATCGGCTGCATGTTCTAAGAGCCTTGCTCCCGTTTTTCGAACACCCCTCTGTTCTGAGAAGATTGCGTGGTAGGCCCACAGGGATGCCGGGACGGTCAGGCCCTGCTCACTTCCTAGGCGGCCGTTTCTCAACCTTGACCGCGGCGTTTTTCCCCAACGCAGCGTCGAAATCGAGCCCGGCCACCATCTTCTGGAGGTCGGAAAAAGGGGTGTGGCATAAAGGGCTACGGTGCCAAACGTGGAAATTGCGATGCTATCTGCGATAAATAACATCGCCAGAGTCCCCTCTAGAAGAGTCAACACCACACCCCTTTCTACCATACCCCTTTCCTACCTCCAGACATCCGCCGTGGTGCGCGCAGCAGGCGGAAGCCTCGCTGCGCGGGCTGCTTCGCACCACGAGGCAGCGGGCGGCTGGTGGCCTGGCGCCGAGCACGAAATCGGCCACGCACCGGCCCAACTGGTGCCGAGGCCGCCGGTCGATCGCGCGGTGCAGAACCAGCAGTGGAGGCTGCTGGCTCCGCACCGGCTCAGCCACGCGCAGAGGAGGGGGGGGAGGGAGGAGGGCTTCTTAGAAGCATCTCTGCTTTTTAGAAGGCGCGGGCCTGATCTACAGATGTAAGGCTGGCGCCTTCTAAAAAGCAGCCTCCTAAGAAGCCCCCCCACCTCCCTCCACCCCCTTGTGCGCGCCGCTAACCGATTGTGGAGTCAGCGACGCGATAGCTTGATTGACGCCGTAGGCTGCCTTTTCCTGACGTGCAGTGCGGAATCAGCGGTTGCTGCCCTCGTCCTCCGGCATTGGACGATCACTCGTTTCAAGGGAGGAAACACCACCCCGACCCCGAAAATTGGCGCCTGGGCGTTTACTAAACAGCCCTGCCCTCTTCGATTCCTTCCTTGGGTGCGTTTCCTGAATGGCTTCGCTTGTCGGGGTGCTTATTGCGAAGGCCTGACGGCCGGTGCCGCCGACCCTGTTCGCAATGCGCAGCAAGAGGCACGGGCTGTGGGATGGTTTGGGGGAACGGGGAGAAGGACGAGAAGGTGGGGGAGGGAGGTGTCGTATCTGACCCGGGACTTCCCCGGGACTCCCCCGGGACCCCCCCCGGGACCTCCTCTCCCCCCCCCCGTCGGGGAAGGGAAAGGGAAGGGGCTTCCCTTCGACTCAATGACGACGTTGCTCAAGGTCGGTACGGGGGGGGGGCGTCGTATCTGACTCGGGGGGGGGGTCGCTACCCCCCCCGCTACCCCCCCCCCCCTCCCGGCGGGGGAGGGATCAAAGGGAAGGGGCTTCCCTTCGACTCAATTACGAGGTTGCTCAAGGTCGGCTTGGCTGGAGCCCAGGGGAAGAGGAGTCCCAGGGGGGGGCGTCGTATCTGACCCGGGGGGGGGGTCGCTACCCCCCCCCCTCCCGGCGGGGGAGGGATCAAAGGGAAGGGGCTTCCCTTCGACTCAATTACGAGGTTGCTCAAGGTCGGCTTGGCTGGAGCCCAGGGGAAGAGGAGTCCCAGGGGGGGGCGTCGTATCTGACCCGGGGGGGGGGGTCGCTACCCCCCCCCCCTCCCGGCGGGGGAGGGATCAAATGGAAGGGGCTTCCCTACGACCAATTACGAGGTTGCTCAAGGTCGGCTTGGCTGGAGCCACCAGGGGGGGAGCGTCCGTATACGGACCAAGGGGGGGGAGTCGCTACCCCCCCCCTCCGGAGGGGGGGGCCAAAGGGAAGGGGCTTCCCTTCGACTCAATTACGAGGTTGCTCAAGGTCGGCTTGGCTGGAGCCCAGGGGAAGAGGAGTCCCAGGGGGGGGCGTCGTATCTGACCCGGGGGGGGGTCGCTACCCCCCCCCTCCCGGCGGGGGAGGGATCAAAGGGAAGGGGCTTCCCTCTGTCAACAATTTGAAATTTGCTCAAGGGTCGGCTTCCGCACGGAGAGCCCAGGGGAAAGAGGAGGTCCCAGGGGGGGGAGTCGTATCTGACCCGGGGGGGTGGGGGGGTCCGCTACCCCCCCCCCCCCTTCCCGGCGGGGGAGGGATCAAGGGAAGGGGCTTTTCGCGCAGCAAAAGATTACGAGGTTTGCTCAAGGTCGGCTTGGCTGGAGCCCAGGGGAAGAGGAGTCCCAGGGGGGGGCGTCGTATCTGACCCGGGGGGGTGGTCGACACCCCCCCCCCCCTCCCGGCGGGGGAGGGATCAAAGGGAAGGGGCTTCCCTTCGACTCAATTACGAGGTTGCTCAAGGTCGGCTTGGCTGGAGCCCAGGGAAGAGGAGTCCCAGGGGGGGGCGTCGTATCTGACCCGGGGGGGGGGGGTCGCTACCCCCCCCCCTCCCGGCGGGGGAGGGATCAAAGGGAAGGGGCTTCCCTTCGACTCAATACGAGGTTGCTCAAGGTCGGCTTGGCTGGAGCCCAGGGGAAGAGGAGTCCCAGGGGGGGGCGTCGTATCTGACCCGGGGGGGGGGTCGCTACCCCCCCCCCTTCCCGGCGGGGGAGGGATCAAAGGGAAGGGGCTTCCCTTCGACTCAATTACGAGGTTGCTCAAGGTCGGCTTGGCTGGAGCCCAGGGGAAGAGGAGTCCCAGGGGGGGGCGTCGTATCTGGACCCGGGTGGGGGGGGTCGCTACCCCCCCCCCCCTCCGGCGGGGGAGGGATCAAAGGGAAGGGGCTTCCCGTCGACTCAATTACGAGGTTGCTCAAGGTCGGCTTGGCTGGAGCCCAGGGGAAGAGGAGTCCCAGGGGGGGGCGTCGTATCTGACCCGGGGGGGGGGTCGCTACCCCCCCCCCCTCCCGGCGGGGGAGGGATCAAAGGGAAGGGGCTTCCCTTCGACTCAATTACGAGGTTGCTCAAGGTCGGCTTGGCTGGAGCCCAGGGGAAGAGGAGTCCCAGGGAAAGGGAAGGACAGAGACGACGAGTACAAAGAATGACGGAGATGACGGCTCGAACGGAAAAGCCCCTCACACACGCCGACAGGGTCGGCGGATTCTGAGGGTGGATTGTTTGCTCTCTACGTTTGTAGCTGTAAGTAGCCCTGCCCACGGGGGTGGAGCGCTGCGTGCAGTGAGGCCAGAGAGAGGTCGGAGAGGCGGAGGAGCAGGAAGAGGGCACGGAGGTTGAGGGGGAAGGTGAAGAGGAGGTCGAGGAGAGGCAGGGCGAGGAAGATATTCTCGACGAGTTGGAAGGGGGAGGGGGGACGAGGAAGGGGGAGGATGAGGCGGAGGTTACGCAGTCAGTCCTTCCAATGCTGTACACTACAAGGCTCCCCGCCGCTCCCACTTGGAGAATGAGGGCGGTGCTGGTGTTGGCCACAAGTGTACGACTGTCGCCAGGACGGCGCTGCGCGAACATTGCTTGCCGTACAGTAGTACGCGTGGGCGGACCATGCCTCAGCAGCTAGCAGTCGGCCGTATCGGGAGGCCGATCATCATCACCATTCTCACTTGAGTGCGGTCACAGGGGAGCGCTTTGGTGGTATATCCTCCTTCTCCTCCCCCCTATTGGGGTCGGGAGGCCGCCTGACAGCATCGGAGATCATCATCATCATCATCATCATCATCATCATCATCATCATCATCATCATCATTATCATCATTATCATCATCATCATCATCATCATCATCATCATCATCAGCATAATCAGCCAGCATCAGCATCGGCATCATCAGCATCATTATCGGCATCATCAGCATCATCATCATCCAGCAGCAACAGCAGCAACAGCAGCACCAGTATCAGTGTCACCGTCAGCGTCCAATGAAGCTTCTGGGCAGGGAGTGCGGACGGGAGGCACCGACGCTGTCCTGAACGACTTGGCGAACGCTCCCGGTTTTGAGGCGTGCTCCCGCGTTTCATTGGTCGCCACTTTCCTCACAAGGGGGAGGTGTGAGGGGCGAGGAGAGGATGATGCGAGCGATTGCCTGAGTTCAGTCGATCTCTCATCCGACCACGCCGCTGGCCGCCTACCCAGCGGCCGCTTGGGGTTGAATTTGATTATGTGTCAACTTGCAGCAGAGAGCGAGTAGTGGATCGGCATTGCAGCGAAATGGGCGTGGCAACATAGTTCGGTGAAGAAGTACAATGAAAACCCATGCCAAGAAATACCCTGCTTGTCTCCAGGATGTCCTGGGTTTCTTGGGTTTCGACGGTTTTGCTATGGGAAGCGTGCCGTTCCCACACCAAAAATCAATAGACGTCCTGGAATTCGAAGGTCGGGCTTCTTGTGGAAGGTGTCTTGCGGTCGAGCTCATACAGTGCCGTTTTTAATACATGCTCCGCGTGCGGATCATTAAAAACAACTATGAGTTCATGCATAAATGTATTCCTAAATTGACCATGTGTTACAATCCCATACTTTTAAACATCCTCGATGCATTTACAACATTCCCTGTACTGTGAGCGAATGCTACTTCCCGGGCGATGGTCTGCGTATCTTCCGATTGCTGCGCGGTTCGGGACCCGGGCCGCATGAGGATGTGACTGCCAGCGGGCCGCACGAGATCCGCCAGACGAGGGGGCACGGCTTCTGACCGAACGCCGTCCTTGGCCTCCTTGGCGTTCAACCCCCAGGGGAGGAGGAGGAGGAGAATGAGGAGGAGGAGGAGGAGGAGGAGGAAGAAGAAGAAGAAGAAGAGCAGGAGGAGGAGGAGGGGCATCCTCCCCTCCCTGGGCCCCGCAACCCTCCGTTTTCGCTCGTGGTCCGTTCGTTCGCAGCTCGTCCCTGGGCCTCCCTGGATTTCCCGCCCTGGGCCTCTGCTCCCCTTGTGGAGGAGCCAGGGCACGCGTGACGCTTGACTCGAGCTCGCGCACGTGCTGCGCCCACGCTTCGCGACGGACCGAGCGGGCATCTGCTCCACCTTGGCGGCCCTGCGCACAGTAAGTTGACGGGCAACACTGCGGCAGCTCTGCCATGGGGCAGCGGCAGGCGGTTCTGTCACTGTATTTGGTTCGGCTCGGCCTCGCTCCGCTCGAGGAGGAGGAAGAGGAGGAGGAGGAGGAGGAGGAGGAGGAGGAGGAGGAGGAGGAGAAGGAGGAGGAGGAGGAGGAGGAGAGGGGGGAGGGGGGGGGAGGAGGGCAGAGGAGGAGGGCGGAGGAGGAGGCGCGCACGAGAGGCTTTTTTCTCCGATCCCCCTCCGCCCAGGGTGGTGGTGGGTCGGGTCGGCCCGGTCTCGGCGGTTGCCTTTGGGTTCCTGCCCGATGCAGTACCACTCGCGCGGGCGTTTCGCCCTGGGGTTCGCGGCTCGGTGCTCCCCCCACGTGAGCGACGCAGAAAAGCGGGGCCGTCTTCGCCGACGTTCGCGCGCAGGCTGCCCGCGCAAGGTCGCGCGAAAGCGCCCTCGTCTCCAGCGTAGCGTGCTGCGCTGGCGGCCCGCGTAGGCTGCGGCTGGGAGCTCCCGAGCGAAGTGAACCCCACCCTCCCCCTCAGAAATCGTGGGGGGTAGGGGTAGGGTTCGCATGTGGCCCCCTACCAATTGGACAGGTTCCCGCCACGTTGACGCGGCGGCGACCCCAGAGCGGGCCCTCAGGACCTTGAGCGCCGCCAATGGCCCAGAATCGGCCGACGTTGGACGGCCTGCGTGATACCGGGAAGCCGCGACCGTCTTCACGGTTCCTCCTCTCCTCCTCCTGCTCCTCCTCCTCTCCTCCTCCTCCCTCCTCCCCCTCCTCCTCCTCATCTCCTCCCCTCCTCCCTCCTCCCCCTCCCTCCTCCGACCCCCTCATCCCCATCTCCTCCTCCTCCTACC